GGCGCCGGTCAAGTAACAGCGCCAGACCTTGAAGGCATGCACGATCGCGAGCATTTCGCGGTCGTGGATCGGGTAATTCTTCTCGGGCGGATGCAGTTTTTGTGACTCGTATGCGATGGGTTGTAAACCGTTGCCGAAATCCCGTAGCAGTACGGCTCCAATGGCGATGTCGCTCGCGTCTGTAACGACTTCGAATGGGCGGTGTGGGTCGGCGATGCGCAGTACGGGCGGTGAACAGAGAACGTTTTTCAGGGCAGAGAAGGCAGCATGCTCTTTCTCCCCCCACGTAAAAGCGACCCCCTTCCTCAGTAAATCCGTCAGCGGGGCAGTCAACTGTGCCATGTCGGGGACGAACCGACGTACATAATTAACGAACCCTAAATAACTCTGCAGCTCCGTGATGTTCGTCGGGGGGTGCCACGCTTTTACCGTGTCCAGCTTCTTTTGGTCGATTTCAACCCCAGCCTCCGAAATGACGTGCCCCAAAAATTCTAACCTATCCTGGAAGAACTCGCACTTGGAACCCTTGGTCAGTAGGCGGTGCTCGTCTAAAACCTTAAAAACTGCTTCCAGATCTGCTAAGTGCTGCTGCTTATCCCTGCTGTAGACTAGGATGTCGTCGAGGTAAACTATCACGCATTTATCTAAGAGTGGCCTAAACGCCTCGTTCATGGTCATCTGAAATGTCGCCGGTGCGTTGGTCAGCCCGAATGGCATCACGGTGTATTCGAATGACCCGTATCGAGTCCTAAATGCTGTTTTGGCGCAGTCCGATGGTTCGACTCTAATCTGATGGTAACCTCCCCGTAAATCTATTTTCGAGAATACCCGGGCTGTTCGCAGTTGGTCGATCAGTTCGTCGGCGCGAGGAATGGGGTATCACGACTTGACTGTTACCCGGTTCAGTGCTCTGTAATCGATGCACATGCGAAACCCTCCGTCTTTTTTCGGTGTGAACAGTATCGGTGCGGCGAACGGTGACGAGCTCGGTCGGATGAATTTTTTCTCTAACAGGTAATCTAACTGCTTCCTCAGTTCGTCGAGCTCGGGTTGTGTCAGTCTGAACTGTCGCTGTACGGTTGGCTGTGCCCCCGGTTCTAACTCTATTCGATGGCCGTGTGCTCGCTGAGGTGGCAGTCCCTCTGGTAAATCATCCGGAAAAATCCCCGGGTACCGTTTCAACAGTTCCTGCAGTTCGGGCGGTACCGCTGCCAGCAGTTTCTGAAAATCACTCGGCTGCTCTGCTTCTCCTATCAATGCTATATCCACTGCGTACACGTCAGCTCCAGCGGCGACAGCCCGTTTCATCGTGATGGCGTTGACGTGGACCGTTGAAGACTCGGGCGACTGCCAGCGTGGTAGCAACACCCAGTTACCGCTACTTCGCACAGTGCAGCTACCCGTCGTCCAGTCAATTCGCGGGTTATACCGTCGCAACCAATCACGTCCCAATAAAATGTCGTGCACATCCAGTGTCGTCGCGAGCATTTCCTGTGTAAACCCGAAGTTCCCCCCGCATCAGATCTTTACTCTCTCCACCTTTTCCCGTATGGCCAGCGGTGTGCCGTCAACTAAGCGTGCGTCTATCTCCGGTAAACACCGACTCAGTGTCAGTTGTAGTTTTCGTGCGGTCGCGGTATTAACTAAGCTGTGACTCGCGCCTCCGTCGATAAAAATCTTCACTGCTGCTCCCTGTGTTTTTCCGTGAATCAGTACTGGGCAATCCGTCGCTGTACCCTCCTTATTCATCCGAGCCCGATCGATAGCGTGAATCGGTACTGTGACTCGGTGAGGGTCGGTGCGGTTGGGTGAGCAGGCAGTCTCGTGAGTAGTTCGCCCGATTCCTACTGACTGCTGGCGTTTCCCTGCCTTGGAGACTCCCTCCCCTGCTCTGCTCCGCGGCGCCTCAGCTCCTCTGGGCACCCACTCTTACGATGGCCCGGCCTATTGCAAGCAAAGCAGCGCCCCTTAAACGGCGCGGCAGCTGCGTTCGTCGCAACGGCGTGTACAGTGGCGTGCTCGATAGGTCCCCGAGGGCGATGTCCGTAGTAGGACCCCGGTCTCGGACGGCGTAAAATGTCGATTTTCTCGGCGAGGGCGAGAATCTCGTTGAAATTCGAGAGCCCGCGTAGCATTATTTCGTGCGAGATGTCCGGCTTCAGCCCTCCGACGTAACGGTCCACCCGCTCCGCTTCGTGCATATAGCCGACTTGCTCGCATAATGCGAGAAAACCGCTCGTGTAGTCTTGGACCGATCCGAGCTGCCGCCAAGTACGCAGCTTCTGACGCGCCGAAATAGAAGCCGCGATCGGCTCGAAGCGCGCCCGAAGCCCTGCGCACCACGCATCCCACGTGCTGTATTGGGCGGTTTCGCAGAATGGACTCCAGGTGACAGCGGGGCCCGTGGGCCCTTCCTCTTGCGACGGTGGCTCGTAGGCGCGTGGCGACGTCATGATGACTCGCCACCAGTCCATGGCGGGGCCTCTCAGCAGCGAGACGGCGTATCTGATCTTCGATGCGTCCGACTCGACGTAGTTCGCGTCGAAGAAGACGTTCATCGTGAAGACCCACGACTGAACCGTCGGACCTCCACGTTGGCTCGGGTCGAAACAGGGCGGGCGCTGCGGCTTGAGTGGCATTGGTGCCATGCTGGCGTGGTCGCCACTTGTCGCCGCAAATTCCACGTGCCGACGGGCTTCACGAGGCTCCCGCGGGCTTGGTGCGACCCTGTTCCTCTCCATGCCAGGCATCGAGTGAGCGGCGCCATCACTGGCTGCGCCTGAGCGCTGTCCCACGCTGTCGTTCTGTGTTGGTGTGCCTGATGAAATGACGATCGGCTCCTCCGATTGTGCGGGTGCATTGGCAGGTGCGTGTGGTGGTGCTGGAGTATTCACCGTGGATTGCTGACGCGCGGAGTCACGTTCCGCCGTGAGCGTCGAAATTTCGAGCGCCGAATCCTCGACTTGGCGCACGAGACGGTCGAGTTGCTCCTGCGTCAGTGTCGCGAGAGTGAATTCGGCCATGGCGGGGGTGTCGGGCAAGCTCAGCGAGAGCCTCTGTCGTGGCCGTGCGTGCTTACGAGAGAGCACTACGAACGGCGGTGCTTGTGTCGCTGAGAGACGTCTACCCCCCCCAAAAAATTGAGATAGTGGGGAAAACGAAGGTGTGGGTGCGGTCCGAGAAGAGATCGTAGGCTCTGAATACCAAGTGTTACGAGTGCAATTGAGTGAACGAGCGAGAATTGCACTATCGAAGCAAGAGTACAATGAGCGAAGGCATGAGCGAAGAATATATAGCGAAACTTTAGTGGTAACGGTAATGTGTGGAAAATGAGGTGCGCGACGGGCCTAGCGCCGAGGTTGGGAGATGTCGAGGCGGAGGTCCGGAGCGCGGGTTACCAACCGAACCGTGAGGTTGGGTCGCGTCGTGAACAGTGGCGGGAATGGTGTCGAAGCGAGTGTCGCGAGTGGTAACGGATTACTGTTGGGTGCTGTTGGCGGGAACAGTGGTGTACGCGCTGAGCAGGGACGCGAAGTAAGGAAAATGAATTTTCCTTATAGCTATTGAGAAACAACTTCTTGGTTGGTGCAATTTGGTTTGGACGATTCTCAAATCTTGTGATGGTGTTGTCACATTTTTGTGGTCAAACTGACGAAGCGCCTGGGTGAGCCCAAAAACTGGTTAGGGCTAGGTGCGGGCCAGGTTCGTCACCGTGCGACACACCCGGCCCTACAGTAGTACTTCGGCCACTTCTCTGCTATTGTTCGGACCAAATTGACCTTTGCCCAGTCTTCTGAATGGGCATCGAAATCCTGGGGAACTATTCTGTGCAGGTAGAGACGAAGGTCCCGTACGGGTCGGAAGTACCTCGTCCCCCGTAACTAAAAACCCTTTTCATCCATCGTATCTGGAAACATGTTCTAGTTATGCCAAGGATCTAGACTAGGGTTGATGCGAGCGCAGCTCCTATCAGGAGGGTTCAACGATGGTCATCGTCGCCCTCGAATTAGACCCAAAATTCCTTCTAATCTGCTGCTAATTAGCCGAAATAGACGGATTTGCATAGGCAACGAGGCGTCAGATATTTATTCAGTACTAACGAGGTGGAATTGGAATTCCAGCCGTCTTATCCGGAAACATGTTTAAGTACTATGTTCTAAAGCTGCTGGATCTACATACGCGGCGAACCACACCGAGTTCTGCCAGATTGAATCCAATGGCTGCTGAAGCCTCGGGCAGTAACAACATTTTACGTCCGCTGCTGCTACCGGCCGTCGTCTTCCTCTCTCAGCTTTTCATTTATTATGGCCTCTTCTCCGACGCCATTCCCCAATCCTGGCCGCTGGGTCCTTCAGCTGCGGTTACCGCACCTATGTTTACCAGCACCTCTGTGGTTACCACCTCTATGGTTACCGTGCCCATGGTTGCCGCGTCTACACCCGCAGCTTCGCCTGATGCGGTTCCCGGTGCAATTCTGGACTCCACCAATAACAGCTCGTTTCCAAATCCAGTAGTGGTACGTGACACCAGCAGCAGCACTGCTATCCCTAGCATCAGCACTGCTGCTCCTAGTAGCAGCAGCATCCCTGATTCTAGCAGAAGTTCTCAAGCTGTGTTGCAAGATTCCAATACTACTACCACCACCAGCACGCCCCAGGTGCTGGTAGTATCACCAAAAGATCTTATCTCAACGATCGCTAACCCTAAAGATTCGCCACAATCTCATGCGAAGCCTGATCCGATTCCCCCAACCGCCGCGGATCTTCCTGTGTCCCCCCTCCCCTCCCTCCTAACTATCCCCGGTTCCCGCTTCACCTCAGCCAATCAGCTCCTCTCGTTCCAAACCCGCCTCGCGTGCCTATCAGCGAACGCCACGTGGCAGCTGGACCCTACTCCACGTACCCTCCCCTGGTCCCACGCGGTCAGTGCAGGTTGGGAGTGTGACGATAGATGGAGGAGCGACTCTGGGCAGAACAACTCCCGTTATAAGAACGTTGCTTTCAAGGGGGCGGATGACATAGCTTTGACAGGAGGTTCGGCAGAGGAATGGAAGGTGAGGGATACGGTGAAGTATAAGTGGGTTCCTGAAGGGGGGTGTGGGGAGTGGGGAGAGGTGGAAAAGGGGAAACGGGCGGAGAAATTGGAGGGGTTGACTGTGTTTATAGTGGGGGATTCGATAAACGCAATGCTATTCAAGTCTCTGAGGAATCATTTCAGGCAGGCCTCGACGCCTGGTAGTGTGCAGCAAGGGGAGCAGCAGAACAGCCGCAAAGCAGAGGGGGAATCACTCGAACCGGTCGAATTCACTCCTGCTTTCTGCAAGAGCCGCACTAAGAACAGGCTGCTGCAGCAACGGCCGTACCTGCTTCTGTGCACCGGGGTTGCGCTGGGAAATACCAAGTTTATATACGTGCGAGACGATGTAATTAGCACCGACTCACATCTATATGTGAAGTTTCCGAAACGGATTTCCGTGCCATGGCTTGATGTGATTGTAAAGGGGGAGGTGGTGAGGGAGAGGCAGGAGCAGGAGAAGAAGAGAAGGGAGGAGGAGAAGAAGAGACGGCAGCAGGAGAGGCGAATGCAGCAGCTGGAATGGCAGGAACAGAAGGAACAGAGGGAATGGCTGGAGCAGCAGAAGAGACGGAAGGTGCAGGAGAGACATGGGAGGCAGGAGAAGGAGGGGAGGCATGAAGAGAATGGAGAGAATGAGGAGAAAAAGATGGGGCAACGAAGACTGTTTGGCTGGCCGTTTTCCATGACCCCAGAAGCGTCTTCATGTAGAGATCCAGCTACCAGCGGAAATGTGAGGCAAGGCACGTACTGGCAGTATTTTCAACGTCACATCAGGAAGCTCACAGCATCCCCCAAGGATGACCCATTTCCGCCCATATCGGTCCTTGTGCTCAACCGAGGGGCCCACTGGGTAGAAACACCCTTATTCATTGCGGAACTTAACCATACGTTAACTACAGTACGAGCAGCTGCACCCAATGTCCTCATAATCTACAGAAGCACCGCTATGGGGCATACTAACTGTACGAGAGATTCGGTTCCTTCAATCAAAACCTCTGACTCCTCGGCAATGCCGCATCATTGGGGCGATTTCGCGGAACAGAATGAGGAAGCTAGAAAGTTGGTGGAGGGTGTGGGAGGGGTGTTCATGGATATTGTACCCATGACTGCGGGGAGACCGGATGGGCATCAGGAACCCCCTCGGGATTGCCTGCATTATTGTTTGCCCGGCCCGCCTGACGAATGGTTGAGACTGTTGTATCATGTATTGCTGGACCTGTTGTAACTTTTTTCGGAACTTCACTTCATCGCGATATATGTCGAAAATCAAGCGTTTCCTTTGAAATGAGTTTCATGTGCTGTCTTCTTCTTGGCTATGCATAAATCAGCGGCTTTTGATGCACAGTGTACTGCCTTCTCCTTACCGTAGGATGATTCCTGCCAGATGCTATTACGGGACCGGTACCACACGAGATTAGAGGTAATCTTGATAAAAGCCTTTGACAAGGTGAAAAAACTCTTCAAGTCTACTTGTATGCGTGGATGCAGTGTACGAGCATCTTGTGAACGAAGTCCCAGCCTCCGTTACCGAAACTCGCACCTCCACTGTCAGAGGCGACGGTATTGTAGCGAGGATGCGGTCCACCTAAAAGAAACGACAGAATAGCGGGGATCCAAAACGTTGCAGGTATGTTGCAGAGAGTCATCGTACGATGCAGTACGGTGGAAATAGAACACCAGTATTCTCACTGCCTCGATATCACCATCAGTGAGAAATGCCTTGGGAATGTCGCCGTCGCAATCAGTCGAGGACTCCTTGCAGATAGAAGCTGATTCGTTGCGGGATTCCTTGCAGCAGATAGAAGGCCTTGCTTGTCACGCCCTGCCGTCACAAGTCACTTTCTAGTCCTAATCAGTGACCACTGAGTCGTTTCCTCTTGACCGCTCTTCTCGCTTCGTTGATTTCTTCATTCGTGCTGGTCGGCGGTTCCCTTGCTGCACTGAGCTGCGGTTGTCGCCGGCGATTGACGCGTGCGATTGTGATTGCGTCGCTCGATCGTCGATCGCCTTGCATTTGACGGCTCGTGACAGCTCGTCGTCGCATTCGCTCTCACACAGCCTGCGATTTCAATCTCCCTCTACACGGACTGCACTTTTCCAACTGATCGAATCACGTCCGTCGTTCTCACAATGGCTACGCAGCCAATCATGCCGTGCCAGCAAATCGATAGTAGTCGCAGTGGCCCTTCTTCCTTACAGCTACTCCATCGTTTCCCGATTAGATCCCCCAGGCTCTTTCCCGTCGTTATCGCGTGCCGTTTCCGATTAACAAAGTCGCAGACGTTGTCGTCGTCGTCGTTTTCAGTTTGTGTCGCACGGGGTTGTCGCAAGCTCAGAGCGTACTCGTCGCACGCCCCGGAGCGTCGCTTCCGCAAACTTAGTAAGAGCCAGACAGACTCACTCACTCGCGGTGCACTTCCTTCGTCATAAGAGCTGACCCCACGCTCTATCGACCCTCATTCTTGCAAATCCTGCATCCATCGTCCTCGATCCTCATAATATTTGACGGCTGCTGGTTACCTCCTGCTGCTGTTGGCTGGCCCCTCTGGTGCCGTTTTCTCCATACCACCCTCGCGCACACTTCCCTGTATCTCTCAGTCTTCGTTTGAAACGTTGACAGGCAAGCCGAGCTCTCTACTGAGCTGTCTTCTGCACGCCTCCTTTCTCAGCCAGTTGTTAGTGTGCTTTTGGGACGTGCTCGGCCGTCAGGCTTGACGGCTTTGATTCGGCTCTGAAGCATTTTGTGAAAACCACCAGCCAGACGCAACTGGCACACCACGCTCGTCTGCATCCTCCGACGTCCGCTGCTCCTCATCGCTGACGTGGTGCCATGTCATCAGTGTGCGCGCTTGACGTGGAGGCCCTAAGGAAAGCGAGGACCCGGGCGTCTGCTGCGTCAGCTGTGAACAACGCACCAAGTGACTCGTATGATGGTTCGAATGCCCTCCTACGTGACAGAGGAGGGACAGATAAAGGAAGGCAATTGGCCCTGAGAAAGGCAGAGGCTGGAAGCGGCAGCAGCAGTTATACTCGTTATAGCGGTCACCGCTATCAGCCTGGCGGCCAATTTGCACCCCATGGCGGTCAGACGACCGAGCCTGGTGGTGTATTCTTTGCTCCTGGGGATCACCTCTCTGTGTCCGGAGCAAGCGCGTGGAGAGGAGGATCGTTTCTGCCGCTCCCTCAATATGGTGCTGGCAGTGCTGGTGTTGGCTTTGATGGGGGGGATGCTGAGAACGAAATGCAAATCGGAGAGTTGTCGGAGCAACACCGGAGCAGCAGCAACAAGAGCAGAGAGAGCGATTCGAGTGATACAGGCGGCTCTGGTAGCAGTGGCACCAGCTCCAGCACCACCACCAGCAGCAAGAGCAGCAGCATCAGCAGCACGGGAGGAGGGTCAAGGAAGGCTATCCCCAGCAAGACGTGGGACACCCATGGGCAGAGCATGGTTACCACCACCGCGTGTTACACTATTGCGATCGACAACCTCTCCTACTCCATCCCCACACCTGCGTCGTCCTCCCTTGATTATCTCACCCAGTCACTCTCCAAGTGGGTGCCATTCTTACCAGCTACTACAAAAACTTCTCCAGCTGATGCTCCTGATTTTGCTGCTGCTGCTGCTGCTACTAATGGTGCTGCTGGTGGTCTGACTCCTGATAGCGGCTACTGCGGTGGTGGTGATGGTGCTGCTTCTTCTTCTGCTACGTCTCTGCATGGTTCTGCGGATTTCCTCCCGCTGCTGGTGGGCGTTTCAGCAGTGGCGAGGCCAGGGCAGGTGCTGGCCGTGGCGGGGCCGAGTGGGGCGGGCAAGTCAACGCTGCTGGACTGCATTGGAGGGCGGATTCAGGGGGGGCGGCTGAGAGGAAGCATCCTGGTGAACGGGCAGCGCATGAGCGCCGGCGAACTCAGGCGAATCTCAGGTGGGTTGCCTTTCCTGGGTTCTTTGGGAGGTTGACTGTTTCTGGTGGTGGCCGGCTGAGAGGAAGCATCCTGGTGAATGGGCAGCGCATGAGCGCAGGCGAACTCAGGCGAATCTCAGGTGAAATTCAGGCGAATCTCAGGTGAATTTCAGGCGAATCTCAGGCGGGTTTTCATATGCTGAAAGATGTCGAATCCTCCTCTCAGTATTCAGGAGGCAGTGAGCAGCAGGACGATGCGCTCCTCTGTTCTTGATTCGCTCCTCCATTGAGACTCACTCCGTTCTCGATTCCACCCATTGCCTACCCCCTCAATCCCCCCTACCACCCAGGCTACGTGCAGCAGGACGATGCGCTCTTCCCTCACCTCACCCCACGAGAATCGCTCCTCTTCTCAGCCCACCTCCGCCTGCCCTCCTCCCTGCCCCTCGCGGACAAGCTCGCCCGCGTGGATGCCCTCCTCGCCACCCTCGGACTGCAGGTAACTGTGTTACAGTGTTGCACTGCACATGTAACTTGGCCTCAAAAGCGAGTCGCTCCTCGCTCATCTCCGCCTGCCCTCCTCGCTGCCGCTCGCCGACAAGCTGGCCCGCGTGGATGCCCTCCTCGCCACCCTCGGGCTGCAGGTAAGGCGTACCACAATCACACAAGTAACTGGGCTGCTCGTGGTAACAGGTGTGTCAGAGCCAGTCAGTCGCTCCTCTCTCTGTACACCTCCGCCTGCCCTCCTCCCTCCCCATCGCCGACAAGCTGGCCCGCGCGGATGCTCTCCTCGCCACCCTCGGCCTGCAGGTAACTGGCCTGCTGGTAACCATATCGTCTTCACGAGTGTAGCAATGGGAGCTGCAGGTACCTTGAGGAGCTGCAGTGCTGGTATACACGCCTGCCCTCCTCTCTCGCTCGCCGACAAGCTCGCCCGCGTGGATGCTCTCCTCTCCTCGCCACCCTCCGCCTGCAGGCAACTCGGCTGTAGCCGTCCGCACAGCCCTGCGCATGTTTAGATTCGCGGTGATCTAGGTGTTTCAGTCAGAGGGAGAAATACTCTTAGATATCTTGTGAGCAATTCTCTGGGAAATTCTTAGAATTTCCCCTTTCCTGTTTCCTTTGTCACCCCGACGACCTTCCTCTCTCTGCACTCACCCCAGGATGTCGCCCACCAGTGGGCTGCACCCACAACAAGAATCCTCCCCCCCTCCGCCCCCCAACACCCCCCCCCCTCCCTCCTTTCACTCGTTCTTCTGGCTTACCCCCACCCCTCACCCCCACTCCTCCCCCTCTCCCCTGGCATAGGCTGTCGCCCACACACAGATTGGCAGCACCAGCGCCGACAGCAGCAGGGGAGGGGGTTGTCTGGAGGAGAGAGGAGGAGGGTGTCGATTGGTGTCGATTTGGTACACAACCCACCCGGCAGTGGTGCTGCTGGATGGACCCACCAGTAGGCTGGACTGGACCTACACCACTCCCACCCTCTCCTCCAGTCTCAACCGTTTCTTTCTTGTCCCTTTTTCCTCGTCCTTTCCTTACCCGCACCTGCCATTACTACCCGTCCCCTCTCCCCCAACCCCAGGCTGTCGCCCACACGAGGATCGGCAGTACAAGTTCGGGCAGCAGCAGGGGGAGGGGTCTTTCTGGAGGGGAGCGAAGAAGGGTGTCGATAGGAATGGATTTGGTGCACAACCCGGCAGTGGTGCTGCTGGATGAACCCACCAGTGGGCTGCACCCACAACAACAATCCAATTTCCTCCCATTTTTACTCTTTCTTTTGTCTTACCCCCATCCCTTCCTCCCACTCCTCCCCCTCTCCGCTGACCCAGGCTGTCGCCCACACACGGATTGGCAGCACCAGCGCCGGCAGCAGCAGGGGGAGGGGATTATCTGGAGGAGAAAGGAGGCGAGTTTCCATAGGAATGGATCTGGTGCACAACCCGGCAGTGGTGCTGCTGGATGAACCCACCAGTGGGCTGGACAGCGCTGCTGCTGCCAACGTGCTGGGCGTGCTGAGAAGCATGGCGAAAGAAGGAGGCAGGACAGTCGTGCTGTCTATACACCAGGTGAGCAGGGGAAGGGGAGACAAGACGGGGGGTGAGGGAGTGAGTGAACCCACCAGCTGCCAACGTGCTGGGCGTATTGAGAGGCATGGCGAAAGGAGGAGGCAGGACATGGCATGGTGTTGTCTTGTCTATACACCAGGTAGAGAGGGGGGAGAGAGGAGGGGAGTGAGGAGGGGAAGAGGAGGTAAAGAGGACTCGTAGCCCATTTTCCTCTCGCAGCCCAGCTTCCGCATGCTAGAGCTCATCGACTCGCTCCTGCTGCTCCCCACCATCACTTGACCCCTCAGTTCTCCCCCACGACTCTCCTAATCCCCCCCTGGCAGCCCAGCTTCCGCATGCTCGAGCTCATCGACTCGCTCCTGCTGCTCCCCACCACCACTCTCAACCCCTCTGTTCTTCCCTCCACCCGCTCCTACCCCTGACTGCTCCCTCGCAGCCCAGCTTCCGCATGCTTGAGCTCATCGACTCCCTCCTACTGCTCTCCACCACCACTTTCCACCCCTCTGTTTCCCCCTATCCCCCACATTCTCCCCTCCCCCCCTCTTCTCGCACCCTCGCAGCCCAGCTTCCGCATGCTAGAGCTCATCGACTCCCTCCTGCTGCTCTCTCGGGGCTCCGTGGTTCACTGCGGCCCTCTCTCCCTGCTGGAAGCTCGCCTTGCTGCTGCTGGCTGCACTGTGCCCATGCGGGTCAACGCGTTGGAATACGCCATGGAGGGCATGGGGGTGAGTTGCCTCTACACTATCTCATTCCGTTCTCATTAAACTCTCTTGAGTCGACCCAACAGTGAACTTGCTCCTCGCTCCCTGCTTGAGGCCCGCCTTGCTGCTGCTGGCTGCACCGTGCCCATGCGAGTGGGTCAACGACTTTGAGTTTGCCGTGAGGGCATGGGGGTGAGTGCTGTTTCAATTGACTTTTGAGTCGACTCAAAAGTCGTCTGCTGCTGGCTGCACCGTGCCCATGCGGGTCAACGACTTTGAGTTTGCCGTGAGGGCATGGGGGTGAGTGCTGTTTCTTGGCTTGACTCTACCATCAATGCTGGTGCTAGGCCCGCCTCGCTGCTGCTGGCTGCACTGTGCCCATGCGAGTCAACGCACTTGAATATGCTATGGAGGGCATGGGGGTGAGTTCTGTATATTCAGCCCCTCCTTTCTCTCTGCTTATGTAAGTCAACACGCTTGAATACGCTGTGGTGGATGGCATGGGGTTGAGGTAGACAACAAAACACTTGAGATTGGTATAAATCATCTCTCTCACTTTCGCTGTCAACCCCTCCGTTTGTACTTCGCAACAGCCAGGCAACAGTATGCTGTGGAATTTCCAGTCTCACTCTCAAAAGCAAACCATTTTTTTTTCCACTGTGAACCCCTCGACTTGTACTCCCCTCCCCACAGTCCAGCGACAGTGTGCTGTGGAAGAGGCTTCAACAGCAGCAGCAGCAGCAGCAGCAAACGGCAGCAGCAGATGGGGACGTGTATTTCCATGGCACTGCTGCTGCTGCTGCTGCTGGTGGTGGTGACCACCAGACATGTGTTTCTCACAAGGATACTCCTCCTGAAGGCCACACTGGGAGTGAGGTCTTTCACGAGCTTCCCCTCTCCTCATCACCAGCATCATTCCCCTCCCCATCCTCCTCCTCCCCATTATCCTTCTCCTCACCATCATCCTCCCCTCCTCCGCCGCCACCGCCATCATCAGCTTCACCGTTCCAAGATGTTCCGATCTCAATCCAAGGCACCTGCGGCAGTGGCAGCAGTAGTGACGACAGTGACTGTGACAGTGCTGGCAGCAGCAGCGAAGGCGAGAGCAGCCAAGGGGGAAAAGAAGAGTCTTCCCTTCTTCCCCAGTATGCCACATCGCCCTTGCACGAGATCTGGTGGCTCAGCTGCCGCAACTTCAAGGTAGTTTCTTGTGCATCCAAAACGGTTGTGGTAGCATAGGGGGCGGGGAAGGGTTACTGTTTGCTTCCCTCCTGCCCCAATATGCCACATTGCCCCTGCACGAATTCTGGTGGCTCAGCTGTCGCAACTTCAAGGTACATGCCCTCCCTCCCATCCCATGGGTTAGTGGAAGCATATAGGGAAGGGCTTCTCCTCCCCTCTCCTAGGAGACGGTGCGTCTCCTCCTACCTGCCACAGTACGCCACGTCTCCCCTGCTCGAGATCTGGTGGCTCAGTTGCCACAACTTCAAGGTACATGGCCAGGACCCCAGAGCTGTGCCTAGGAAGGGCGTCTCAGGTCGCCCCCTCCGGCCCCTCTCCGGCCCCTCCGGACTCCTTAAACATGTTCGCTAAACCCTTTTGTGCTCTCCCCCCCCTCTCCGGCCCCTCTCCCTGCCCCTTTCTTCTCAGAACATGGCCAGGACCCCAGAGCTGTGCCTAGGGAGGGCGTCTCAAGTCGCCTTTACTGCTCTCTGCCTTGGAACACTCTTTCTTCGCCTGCCGTCCAACCCCCAGGGGATAGAGGTGAGGGGGGGTTGAGCAGCGGGTGGGAGCGGGTTAGGTGGAAGTGAGGAGGGGATGGGGAACTGTAAGCTGGGAGTGTATTTGAAGCAGAGACATCCTAGACGCGTTTCATGTCGCCTTCACTGCTCTCTGCCTGGGAGCGCTCATTCTTCGCCTGCCGTCCAACCCTCAGGGGATAGAGGTGAGGAGGGTAGGGAATACAGGATAGAGCAAATACAGCCAATGGGGGAAGAAGGGGAGGGTGGGATGGTAAGCCCTATGACCTGATAGCGCATAAGATTATTTGATTTCTCTCACCTCTTTGCCTTCTCTCACCCCTGTGACATCTCCTGCTCTCCGTTTCTCTCCGCCCGTGCCCCCCTCTCAGGAGCGCATGGGCTTCTTTGCCTTCTCCCTCGCCTTCCTCCTGACATCATCTGTGGAAGCTCTGCCCGTTTTTCTTGAGGCAAGTGCTCGTTCGTCACCAGCCATAAACCCACGCACGCATACATTCTCTCATGCCATAAACCATATCCACACATGACTTTGCACCCTCGCCCTCGCCTTCCTGCTCACCTCATCCATGGAAGCCCAGCCCGTGTTTGTTGAGGTAAGTGCTTGTTGCTTCACCTGCCATGATCTTTTGGCCACACCTACGTTAAAACTTATTTTGAACAGGCAAATGTGCCTTCGTCTTTTTCTTACGTTCCTACAAAACAAACAGATTCGAAGCAATTTCTCTGATCCCTTGTCGATTTCTCTATATGTACAGGAGAGGCAGATATTTCTCCGAGAAACATCAAGAGGTGCATATCGCATATCTTCGTATGCCATCGCTAGGTAAGTGATATGCCATATTCCAGCTGTTTCGCTACACGCAGTTGTTTTGCTATGAGCGGCAGTTTTCCTATGGGCAACTGTTTTGCTGTAAGAAGCGTTTTTTATATGTGCAACAGTGTCCTCACATGCACAAGACCAGGGAAAAAATCCACCCCCCATCCTCATACCTCCCATCCCTTCACCCCTCCCTCGCAGTGTGGCGGTGTTTCTGCCCTTCCTCCTGCTCCTCGCCCTCCTCTACTCCATCCCAGCCTACCTCCTCGTCGGCCTGCATCCTTCCCTCTCCTCCTTCCTGTTCTTCCTCCTCATCGTCTGGGCGGTTCTGATCGTAGCCAATGCCATTGTCGCCTGCATCGCGTAAGTCCCTCAGAATCCGTTGTGGACCCCTCTCTATTCTCGTGTCTCTCCTGTCTTCTTCCTCCTCGTCTGGGCTGTGGTCATCGCTGGTGTTGCTTTTGAGAATTCTCAAAAGCAACACCAGCATAGCTGTGCTCATCGTCACCCATGCCATCATTGCTTGCTCTTAAGTCCTCGTGACTATCTTTTACGCACCTCCACTTCTCCCTCAAATCCGTCTTGATCTCTTCTAAAATATTACGGCTATTTCCATTATGCGGGACTCATCACCTTGTCGAGGCACAGAATCTGAATTGCAAGCGATCACAATGCTATCAACCACATAGACCTCCATGTGCATCCACATGTGCATCCCTCCCATGTGTTTTCCCTTGTCTCAGAGCCATGGCGCCTGACTTCATCACAGCTAACTCCATGATCGCTGGCCTAATGGGAGCATTCTTCCTCTTCTCCGGCTACTTCATTGCCAAGAAGGTAAACGTCCAAGGCCTTGGAAATAGGAAATAACAGAACTTTCAAAATTATCAAATTGTTCAGCTGCACTCATGTTGTGGTTATTACAGGAAGCAGACATGTACATGTGCGTCCTGTGGCTCCCATTATCCACAATGCGTTACGTATGTATATCGCCGGACCTCTACATCACATTTGTCTGTTTGTTCCTTTCACTTCTTTTCTCTCTTTTTGTCTCCCCAACAGTACATCCCCTCATACTGGATCTGGATGCACTACCTGTCAGTCTTCAAGTATCCCTTAGATGCTCTCATCATCAACGAGTACGGAAGCCATAGCGTCACCACCTTCGGGCTTGCAGGCACAGGAGCACAGGTGAGTAATTGTCAAGCATGCTTGTTGCTCTGGTTCTTGCATCTGACCTCACATCCTTATTTATATGTATGTATGTAACAGCAGTAATTCTCGTCCTGTTCTTCTCATCCACCCCCCGTGTCTTCATCAGATTATAGAGGCTGCAGGCTTGTCTGGGCAATCTAAGTGGCTTGACCTACTTGTGCTATTGGGCTTTGCAATGGCTTTCCGCATCGCATGCTACATCTTTCTTCTTACACAACGTACTACCAGAAGATGATTATTACCATGTAATAGATTTCAATCAGTTTTTATAAATGGATATCGATGATACAAGTTGGTTCAATCATACCATTTTGTTGAGAGTGTTGGCTGCAATTCGCGTAATCAACTGTACAATGTATCGCAGCTGAGGCATCTTGCACTGAATCGAAGTATCCTCGATATTAGAATGATGTTGCTCAAATGTGGCCCAACACCCTCAAATTCACTCAGACCAGAATTACGAAGAATTCCTGAAGCTGATGATTTTGCCTACAGCGGAAACATTCCGTTCGGAGTCTTCACGCTAGCAAGGCTGATTAAAAGACTAAGGTCATGGTGTCTGGAGCCGTTATCGTGGCACTTTGTGCTGCTCTTGGTAATGGGCTCCAAGGCTGGGACAATGCCGCGATAGCAGGTGCGTGAAGCTTTTTTTTTGTCATTATTTGGAACACCTGGCTATCGTGAATAACTTGGGACCTCTGATTTCTTAGGGTCGCTTCTCTACGTGGTGCCTGATTTCCATTTATCTCCAACTGCGGTCGGATTGATCGTGACTGCATCTTTGCTGGGTTTGTAGCTTTTATGAATCCCACGTTCTTGTAGTTGTCCTGATTCTGACAATGTGAGAACACACGCAGGTTCCGTACTCAGTACTCTAATTGCTGGAAGTTTTGCGGACTTGATTGGCAGAAAATCAGTCCTTACGATTGCGGCTTTCACGTTCTTTTTAGGTAAGATGCGACTCTTTGGATTGTGATATGCTTGAATACAGCACCGATATTCAAGAAGTTGCCTGGTTTCAGGAGCTGCAATTAGTGGATGGTCCCCTAGCGTGGAGTACCTCGTCGCAGGCAGAAGCCTTGTCGGACTCAGCATTGGATTCTTTGCCACAGTCGCTCCAATCTTCATTTCAGAATGCTCACCACCCGAAACCCGGGGCCAGCTGGCCACGCTTCCTCAGCTGATGGGGATCGGAGCTATGGTCATTTCGTATGCAGTGTCCTTTTTCCTTTCCTTATCCCCACACACGGATTGGAGACTCATCCTTGGAATCGAGTAAGAAATCTCACTTGTTTTCTCCTCTCGTTTTGTTCTCATTCCGTCTGTGGCTGAAATCCGTCACCTGGTTTCAGATGTGGACCGTCGCTCCTCTACATTCTAGCATTATTACTTGTGCTTCCCGAGTCACCTAGATGGCTTGTCAGCAAGGGTCGAATGGCGGAAGCACGACTCGTTCTGCAGTACCTTCGCGGTTCTCAAGATGTTTCGGGTAAGCTGAGCCCTTACTAACCTGCTAATGCTCACACATATCAGAGATCAGCTTCATCTTACACGTTTTTCGCCAGGTGAGCTGGCTGTATTGGTCGAGGGCCTCGGACTTTCCCGTGACATCTCTTTGGAGGAGTGGGTCATTAAGCCCGTGGATGAAGAATTTATAAACAAAAACCACGATTCAGTCGCACCTGTTAAGTTGATCGGCCCAGACTCTAGTTGTGAGTGGATGGCTTGTCCGGCTGCAGATACCACTGAGAATGAAGAAGCTGCTCTTCCCTCGCGTTCATCCAGCATTTTCGTATCTGGAAGCCTTCCAGTTGACAACTTAGTTACGCTGATGGACAACATTCAAAGAGCAAGTGATATGGCCATTACAGACAACGAGAATATGCAATCCTCATGGCCATCCCAGAATTCTTCAGGGGAGGAGAAATTGGTTCTTCCTTCTGATATTGAGAGCTTGCAAGCGCCACTTCTTGGGTGTGCATCTGACAACAATTCTGTGGAGTTTTCGCGACAGTCTTCTGTTTTGGAGTCTGTCTTTTCATCTGTTCCACCTCTGGCCTCGTTGACTTCATTAGACATGAACAACAGCTACCAGACGTCCACAGCTACAGCAGGGTCACTGGGTGGCGGGTGGCAGCTGATGTGGCAAGTTGAGGGTGGTTACAGTCAGGTGGAGCGAGATGATGAAAAGCCAAACAATCAGAGTCACGATGAGATGAAGAGGGTCTACATCCTGCAGCAAAATATAGGGCAGTCATTGTCCGACTCTACTCAACTTCTTGGTGATGATGGTATTCAGGTGTCTGTGCTTGTCAGTCAGCAGAGCTCATTGGCGCCTCTTGAGGGTGACACAGAAGGCCCGGCCATGGTGCATCCATCGAAATCAGAGGGTGCTGAAGGAGGATTCAGCAGTCTAAGAGAACCTGGTGTGAAGCAAGCCCTTGTTGTAGGGGTTGGCCTTCAAGTGCTCCAGCAGGTAGGAAATGGTGTTAGCTAGCATCGTCTTTCTTCGTTACTGATCTGATATTTTCTGTTCACAGGCGTGTGGAATCAATGCGGTGCTGTATTACAACCCTACAATTCTCATGTCCTCTGGAGCTAGCGTCTTGGAGAATTATGGATTGACAGCGGAATCGTCGTCCATGTTGGCAAGTGGCGTTACAGCTTTCCTTATGCTGCCGTGCATCTTTGCAGCTATGCTGCTCATGGATTCTTTGGGTCGAAGGTATGTGCTATGACGTGCTGATATGTCCCTTTTCACTTACTTGCATCATGCTCAGTTAAAACCATATGTTTTGTTATGCAGGCAACTTCTTCTATACACCACCCCTGTTATTGGAGCATCCTTGGCACTTCTAGTGTTTTCGTCAACTTCTCTTGGTCCAGGATTGGCGCAATCAGCCTGCTCGCTAGCAGGGGTCACAATATTTTGCTGTGCATTCGTAATGGGCCTTGGACCAATTCCCAACATCATCTGCTCTGAGATATTTCCCACCCCTGTTCGCGGCTTGTGCATTGGTCTGTGTGGTGCTGCTATGTGGCTGTGTAACATTGGTGTCAGCCAGGCGTTTCCTCTACTTCAAGCAAGATTTGGTCTTGCTGGGGTCTTTGCCATCTTCTGCACAATGAGCATGATCTCGTGGCTCTTCGTTTTCCTCAAGGTCCCAGAGACAAAGGGCTTGCCGTTGGAGGTCATCTGTGACATATTTGCTCTATCTGCCAAGAAAGAAGCAGCACATGTCCATGAAGACTAGCCTGGCCACCACAGCAATCACTGTTTATTCTACACCTAAAATTGCGTTTCATTATATCGCGCAGTCATCTTTTAATTTCCTGTAGAGCAACAGAATTTGTAGTCCAAGACACAGGCCATGAGTAGGGCATGTAATCATTGATCAATATGATTGCTGACTCTATACCTGGCCTGGTACACCTCAGGGACGTTTCACAACTCTTCGCTTACTAGAACTGCCTCTATGCTGGTCCGCTAAACTCTCTGCTCAGGATTTGATGGTGACGTGTTGAGATGGCATAACGTGTGCTCATTGCTCAACAGGCCCTCGCCAATACACAAAAATCCCCACGATCTGGGAAGTCATTCTGCGCCAAGCGTCGCTGCGGCTTCGCAATCTTACAATAGCCACAGATTGTACGTTTGCAGCGGACCACAAAGGTACTCCACGAAACGAGCGAACCCATTGCGACTGGCCGAACTCGAATTTCGTTACCACGCAACGCATCCACCCAAGGGGGATCTTGTCGTAATTTCGGAATGCCAAAAACGCTTCCGCCACGCGGTTCGCGATCATAGGCAGCCAATCAGAAACCGCTAAGACCAACACATCCAACACCCGCAACCCTATCTGAATCCAACTTCCTCCATCTCCTAACCAGCAACACTGGCAGAACACCTACAAAACTCACGTCATTCTTATTTCTCATCACAGCCAACTTCTCTAGTCACCTTCCCCAGGAACACTTCAGCCACAGCTTCTGTTTCGAGGCACCTTCAGTCTCTCAAAATGGCTGCTCTCGCGAACGCCGCTGTGCTCCCGTCCACCTTCGTCGGCCAGAGCGCGGAGCTCGCCGCCAAGGTGAACAATGTGGAGGCCCGCGTGACGATGAGGAAGACCGCCAAGGCGGCTTCCAGCAGCGCCTTCTACGGCCCCGACCGCAACCTGTTCCTGGGCCCGTTCTCCTCCCCCCCGTCTTACCTCACCGGCGAGTACCCCGGCGACTACGGCTGGGACACCGCTGGTCTGTCCGCCGACCCCGAGACGTTCGCCAAGAACCGCGAGCTGGAGGTGATCCACGCTCGCTGGGCTCTGCTCGGCGCGCTCGGCTGCCTCACCCCCGAGCTCCTCGCCGGCAACGGCGTGAACTTCGGCGAGGCCGTGTGGTTCAAGGCCGGCGCGCAGATCTTCTCCGAGGGTGGCCTTGACTACCTCGGCAACCCCAGCCTGATCCACGCGCAGTCAATCCTGGCCATCTGGGCGACGCAGGTGATTCTGATGGGAGCAGTTGAGAGCTACCGCGTGGGTGGCCTTGAGGGCTTCCAAGAGGTTGAGGACCCCCTGTACCCCGGCGGTGCCTTCGACCCCCTGGGTCTGGCCGACGACCCCGACGCGCTCGCCGAGCTGAAGGTTAAGGAGCTGAAGAATGGCCGCCTCGCCATGGTGTCCATGTTCGGGTTCTTCGTGCAGGCCATCGTGACCGGCAAGGGCCCCCTGGAGAACCTTTCTGACCACCTGGCCGACCCTACCGTCAACAACGCCTGGGCCTACGCCACCAACTTCACCCCCGGCGCCTAGATCTAGTTTCTTAAAACCTGTACATTCCTTCCGATAATATATATCTCTTCAATCTACAGAACTTGTTCGCTGTGGACACTCTTATTCCGACAGCGCAACTGAAATGTTTGTCAACTGCGCGAGTTATATGTTCTCAACTCCGCTAGTTATACGCTCTCAACCGCGCGCTACTTAAGAGCTCAACTTCTCTTGGGAGATTCGGGCATGGAACTCAGTAAAATACCCCAGAGTCAAATAACCTCTCTGGTAATTTGGGTGAGAGCTATGCGTAGCTGTCGAATTCCACACACTGAACTATGGTTCAGCTCCCATATTCCTCAGTGCTGGGTGGTAACTAAATCCATCTGAAGTTGTCTAGCGGATAGACAAAAACAGGTACGTGCGATACTATCCAGAACTGCACTCGTAATTAGCTTTCAGCATCCTAGCATTTTTCCTGTTTGTCTATCAGGCACTGGGACGATCTAGGAGCGACAAAAGTCAGGAACACGTAACATCATAAGAGATTTTATGGTATGTGACTACTGACAGAAACGCATCAACTTTGAGCATTGCATACCTTGAAATCAGCATGAGTATAATCAGTGTGTTGGTCAACTGGTGGGTTCAATGAACGGATCCCTGAGGCAGGCTCGACGCGAATAATGAATATGAATATTTGTGCTTGGACATCACGCCCATCATTATGAGTGGATGCGATTATCTTATCGCTATCCCAATAGCGGTTTTCCTCTTGAGATAGTTCGTTAACAGAAGGTGCAACTGCCATGGAAAATTTGTGCTGTACGAAAATATATTATTGAAAAAGGGGAATGTACAAGTTAAGAAACTATATCTAAGCGCCGGGGGTGAAGTTGGTGGCGTAGGCCCAGGCGTTGTTGACGGTGGGGTTGGCCAGGTGGTCCGAGAGGTTCTCCAGGGGGCCCTTGCCGGTCACGATGGCCTGCACGAAGAACCCGAACATGGACACCATGGCGAGGCGGCCATTCTTCAGCTCCTTAACCTTCAGCTCGGCGAGCGCGTCGGGGTCGTCGGCCAGACCCAGGGGGTCGAAGGCACCGCCGGGGTACAGGGGGTCCTCAACCTCTTGGAAGCCCTCAAGGCCACCCACGCGGTAGCTCTCAACGGCTCCCATCAGAATCACCTGCGTCGCCCAGATGGCCAGGATGGACTGCGCGTGGATCAGGCTGGGGTTGCCGAGGTAATCAAGGCCACCCTCGGAGAAGATCTGCGCGCCGGCCTTGAACCACACAGCCTCGCCGAAGTTCACGCCGTTGCCGGCGAGGAGCTCGGGAGTGAGGCAGCCGAGCGCGCCGAGCAGAGCCCAGCGAGCGTGGATCACCTCCAGCTCGCGGTTCTTCGCGAACGTCTCGGGGTCGGCCGACAGACCCGCCGTGTCCCACCCGTAGTCGCCGGCGTACTCGCCGGTCAGGTACGACGGCGGCGAGCTGAACGGGCCCAGGAACAGGTTGCGGTCGGGGCCGTAGAAGGCGCTGCTGGAAGCCGCCTTGGCGGTCTTCCTCATCGTCACGCGGGCCTCCACATTGTTCACCTTGGCGGCGAGCTCCGCGCTCTGACCGACGAAGGTGGACGGGAGCACAGCGGCGTTCGCGAGAGCAGCCATTTTAGATGGATAACAGATGCCTCGGAAATAGCTGTGCTGAGTAGATCCTGGGGAGTACGAGGTGCTACTTCTGTTGAAATGGTTAGCTAATTCGAGTTTTTGAGCTGTGAGGGTCCTCCCGTCCAGTTCCGTGCGAGGTGGATAGGCTGAGAGGGAATGGAATGGATTTGAGTCAATTCGGGATGTGATTGGTCGATGTTCGAGCGGCCGTGGTCTGTTTGCGATTCTCCGATTGAAAAATCTCCAGCATCTGTGGTTCTGAATCAGCGCAATCCGAATTCGGCCAATCGCAGGAATTTCTCCAATGGTCGCCGCTAGGTGGCGGAAAAGGCTGTCGCATCAATTCGTTGGTTTCGCCAATGGAGATCCTTGCGGCATGGCGAATGGTGTGGTGTGGTCGAAGTGGTTTGGGTGGGAGCAGGGATCTGTCATTCTTCGCCGTGGCCCCTCAAACCATCCTCCAGATCTTGGTGGGGCCATAGTGGAAGCTGATTGGCGAAACAGCATAACGAAATCCAAATCATGACGATTCACCACGTTTCTCCACAACTGCACGCACCAATCAAGTCGCAGGCCACCCTTTCCGCGAATGCGAGCGCAGCACGTCAGGAGAATAGTGGGGTGTAATGGAATTCGTTGATAAATGCTGGGGAAGCGTGGTAAGCACCACTCACAGCACTGTGACCTGTGACCCATATAGGCAAATCCGAACTCTGCGCAAGAACCAAACAAAGCCAAGAATACACTACACAGAGACTACAAGGACATCACTTCGGAAGATATTCCACTCAGACTACGACATCATGCTACAAATATGCCATGGTACTTGAAACCTGAACATCAGTATGTCATATTTATTGCTGTTTGAAAATATATTACGCCCTTCAATGCACTGAAAGAATTATTGTACTATGGTGTCACTACCTGCACCGCCTTCCACAAGTTTCCGCAGAATATCTGGCGTGTCGTATGTGATGTTGAGCGGAACATTGAGATCACTCTTGAATATGCGAGACACTGTCAGCACCGTATCCTGCAAAGGAGTAGCACAGACATAACACATGAGATGCATGTTACAGCATAGGGGTTCTCAAGTCATGTTGAAGTGGCATGTGAAGTTACCCTGTCATATAGAGTGTAGACAGAAACTTACCCTGTCATAACGCCAGGCAAGTTGAAGAAATCGACATGCGAGTTGTTGGATTAGCGCTCACCTCCATATTAGAGTGTAACTAGAAACTTACCCTGTCATAACGACAGGCAAGTTGCGCCTCAGAGTTCATCGCGTGCACCGACTTGCCGAAGTTGAAGAATTTGGCACTCTAGTTGTTGGATTAGAGCTCACCTCTATATTGGGGTGTAGACTAAGAACTTACCCTGTCATAAAGCCGGGCAAGCTGCGCCTCGGAATTCGTCGCATGCACCGACTTGCCAAAGTTGAAAATGTCAAGATGCGAGTCGTTGAACCTTGCTGTAACCTGCCTCACATCCTCCTCCAAATGCTCGAAGCGACCCACAAAGTCATACTGGACGTGCGCCAAGCCACAGATGTCCACCTGGGGGTGAAGAGTGATAATAATAATGGTACAGATTGTATTACCAAGAACAATACAATTAAAAGATGGTATAATCATCATAGTTCACAACGTAAACACTGTCTGGAGATGAGCATTAATGATAAATGACATCAATGATGGCATCCGGATGACAAGCCTCTCAGACTCTCATTGACACATCAAACCCGAGATGTGTCGGTCTCACCTGTCTTGAAATGTGTTAGTCCGTCTTGGCATGGTTCCGCCTTAGATTATCCAAATTTAGATGATCCCAGCAGCAGAATCTGTTTTTGAGGCGCCTCAAACTTAAATTGAAATGAACCCAGCATGCACCAACAATTCGACACAGCAAACCTGGCCCGGGATATGTCCGTCTCACCTGAATTGAAATGTGTGAGTCTCACCTGCCTTGAAATGTGCCGGTCTGTCTTGACACGCGTCCGCCTCAGATGATCCAGCAGCCGAATGAAATCCGGAAAGCTCACAAGATCCGTCGCCGGATCCTTCAACAAATCCAAAATCCTCTTTGCCGTCCCAAAAAACTCCTGGTTCCAAAACTTTCTCGTGCCCCACCCCTCCTTCCTCTCCGGAGCATCGGTGATCACGAGCTTGTTCATGTACGTCGAAGCAATCCGAACGTACGGGTTCCGAACGAACGTGAACTTGAACATGGTTCGGCGAGTCATGAGCTTTGTGGCTTGCTTTTCGGAGTATTTCTGGGAGAGGTCCCCCAGGCCTGATTCCTTGTGGCTGTGTGCGAGGAAAGGGTCCCGGGGCTTAGGCAGGCCCAGCATGGCTCGCAGCCACATTTTCCAGCCTGTGCAGGCCACCTTGGGCATGCTGCAGTAGGCGATGCCTAGGGTTGCTGGTGGGGGGAATGGACGAAGAAATCAGGAATAAGGGGTGATAATGGGTAAAAAGTGGTAAGCAGGGTGTTGGGAACGTTGAGCATGGTTCGCAGGCACATCTTCCATCCCGTGCAGGCGACCTTGGGCATGCTGCAATGTGCAATGCCTAGGGTTGCTGGTGGGGGGGAGGGTGGGGAGGCTGGGGCTATTAGGAACATGCGTAACAAGGGACTGGGGCAGCTTGAGCATTGCTCTCAACCATGCTCAACAACGGTTGCACGGCCATGGGCCAGGGAAGCATCTGTGCACTTGCAATGCAATGCAATCATACATACATATATGCTTCCATTCCAACCATGCACCCCTACTTAAGCAACTTACGTTCCACGGCAAAGAAGTAGGTGAATTGTTGCACGGTCATGGGCCAGGCAAGCATGCGCAGATGCAATGCAATCAATACCACATGCATCCATCAACTCACGTTCCACAGCAAAGAAGTAGGCGAATGGCTGCACGGTCATGGGCCAGGCTCGCTCCGCCAGGCACAGAGGCGTGAAGAGACGGAAGGAGGGGAGGCGCCGCCTCCCCCTCGCTGCTATGAAGTCTGACAGGGTGCTTGGCTCCATGACCACGAGGCCGGTTGTTTGAGCCAGGAGGAATAGATCGGCCACCTGGGGGTTGAAGGGTGGGACAAGCAGGGTGGGGTTTTTGAGTCGACTCAAACGCAGTTTGGGGGTCAGGGAAGAGGGGAAGAAAGGAGGGATGGGCTACGGGATGGGCGGCTAGGGGATTTGCTTGGGGATGGGCTAGGGAATGCGCATACATCTCACTCACCTCTCGCTGCTTGCATGTCACCACCAGTTCCGCCAGCCTCTCAGCCGCCCCCTCCCCTTCTCCCCCATTGCCTGCACCAGCTTTTCTTCTCCTCGCAGTGTGCCGCCCGGAACCCAAAAGAGGGGAGGGATGGGGGGAGAGAGATGAAGAGGTAGACCGTTCTCACCTCTCGCTGCTTGCAAGTCACCACCAATTCCGCCAACCTCTCAGCCGCCCCCTCCCCCTTCTCCCCCATCGCCTGCACCAGCTTCTCCCCGCAGCTTGCCAGTTGAACAGAAAGAGTGAGAGGCAACCGTTCTCACCTCTCGCTGCTTGCAAGTCACCACCAATTCCGCCAGCCTCTCAGCCGCCCCCTCCCCCTTCTCCCCCATCGCCTGCACCAGCTTCTCTCCGCAGCTTGCCGCCCGGAACGCGGCGGACGGCGACACGTACGGCGCGCGGTCGGCATCAAAGAAAGAGACGATGTGCGCTGGGTGCGACTGGGCGGCGGAGCCGAGCGTGAAGTCGATGGAGGGGCGGTGGAGCATGGTGAGGGCGAGCGTGCGGGCGGCACAGTCGGCGGGATTGAGAGAGGAGGGACAGCCGGGGCAGGTGCCTCGGGGAGTGGCCTGTTTAATCGGAAGAGGAGGACGTCAGAGGGGAAGTTGGGGCACAGAGGGGCAAAGGAGAGTTGGGAACGAGGCAGCACAGTCGGCAGCAGGATTGAGAGAGGAAGGGCAATTGGGGCAGGTGCCTCCGGGGAGTGGCCTGTTTAATCGGAAGGGAGGGACGCCAGAAGGGAAGTTGGGGCACAAGGAAAGACCGGAAGGTAAAGACATTGTGAGGCGACGGGAGAGGGGAGAGAGGATGCACGGTGGATGGATGGAGACCGCAGGTGCACCATTATGCAATGACTTTTGAGAATTCTTGAAGGATGATTCTGATATGGCGCACAACTATGTGACTATTGAGTCGACTCAAAAGGCCGCAGGCGCACCATCTGCAATGACTTTTGAGAGTTTTTGAAGGATGATTCTGATACAATATGGAGACCGCAGGCGCACAACTATGCAATGACTCACATCCAGATACATGCCGATGCTGCTCTCCTTTTGAGTTGACTCGATAGTTTAAGTCGACACTTAAGCCATCTCGCTGCACGGTGGATGGAGGCGGCACTCGCACCACCACACTGTGCAATGACTCACATCCAGGTACACGCCAATGCTGCTCTCCACTCGAGTGCTGTTCACCCCCTCCTCTCGCACCATGGCAGCAGAGAGAGCCTATACTACCAGCGCACTGTGCGGTGCAGTGCGGTGCAGTGTGGTGCAGTGCGGTGCGGAGATCTCACTCACATCCAGGTACACGCCAATGCTGCTCTCCACACGCGTCTGGTTGACTTCCTCCTCTCGCACCATGGCAGCCACCGCAGGCGAGGGGTGCAGCCGCGCATAGCACTTCTGCACATGCGCCCACACGAGACATCCCACCCGCTCCTCCTGCCAGTCCTCCTGCAGATGGAAAAACAGAGAAAGAAGCGGGAGAAGGTGCAGGGGAGAAGCAGAGGCGAAACAGAAGGCGTCGCAGGGGGTTGTGAGGAAAAATCTCAACAAAAAACTGTGTTAGAAGCAGGAGATCTGAGCACCATGGCGGGCACAGCAGGTGAGGGCTGCAGCCGCGCGTAGCACTTGTGCGCCCACACCAGACACTCCACCCGCTCCTCCTGCCAGTCCTCCTGAATCGGCCGAAAGAAGTGGAGCGAGCTCAAGAGAGTGGGAGAGCAGAGCAGAACATGATCCGCAGAAAGAAACGAAAGAGTTTTCGACCGTAGCAAGCCCACGGATCTCACGTTCAGTAAAACCTAAGACTATTCGAGCACAAGAGAATGGGAGAGCAGAATATGCGCCAGCAGCAATGGAAGGTAGTGGGTGAACGGTGAAGGGCGCATTGGGGTGAAAATGAGACTCAGAAGCAACACCACCACCTCACCACACCACCACATTTCCCCTGCCGGTTTATTCACTCTCAGCCAGTTTCCCCTGCAGCGAATCAGTGCAGAACCACCCATGCAGAGTCAGCTTCCTCGGCAATCCCAAGGGCCGCCCCTCGACCTCCTGACTGCCAGGCTCACCCGTCCACAACCACGTGGTGACTAGTTGACTGAATCTGTGTCGCTTTAGTCAGCTATCCAAGGTGGTTGCCTCAATCTGTGTCTCTCTAGTCAGCTATCCAATCACTCACCACACTGCTGCGCTGCAGAGCATCCGTCCGGAACCAGCCATGAAGAGTCAGCTTCCGCGGCAATCCCAAGGGCTATTGGGCTATCAGCTTGTAACAGCCGGCAGCTGCCTGCCTGTAGCAGTTATCCTTCTCACTCCGTCAGCCACTCACCACACTGCTGCGTTGAACGGAATCCGTCCGAAACCAGCCATGCAGAGTCAGCTTCCGCGGCAATCCCAAGGGCTATTGGGTTGTCAGCTTGTAACAGCCGGCAGCTGCCTGTAACGGCTATACACTCACCCCCTCAACCACTCACCACACTGCTGCGTTGAACGGAATCAGTGCGGAACCACCCATGCAGAGTCAGCTTCCTTGGCAATCCCAAGGGCCGCCCCGCCACCTCCTCACTGTCCAGCTCGCCCGCTCACAGCAAAGTCACTGCATCTCTGCCAATCCCTCTCAACCACTACTCACCACACTGCTGCGTTGAACGGAATCAGTCCGAAACCAGCCATGCAGAGTCAGCTTCCGCGGCAATCCCAAGGGCCGCCCCGCCACCTCCTGGCTGTCCAGCTCACCCGTCCACATCGACACTGGCACCGGGTCATCCTCGCTATAAGCCTCCTCGGTACCTTTACCGCGTGCGCTGCCGCCCGTCACACTCCCTGCATCCGAGGCTCCGTCTGAGTCAGCAGAGTCTGGATCCGAGTCAGCGGAGTCGGAATCCGAGTCAGCGGGGTCTGAGTCTGAGTCAGCGTCAGCAGGGGAGCTGCGGGGGAAGGCGGCATTGCGTGCTGATGCTCGCCGAATGCGCTCCCACGTGTCTCTGAAGCACGGGCCGTATTGGTGCTGAGGGGAGAAGACGGGAAGGCAATAAAGGGAAGGGAATTGAGAGAAGGCATTTTAGACACTGATGCTCGCCGAATGCGCTCCCACGTGTCTCGGAAACACGGGCCGTACTGGCGCTGCGAGGGAACAGAGGATAGAGAGGGATGGGGAGGGGTGGAAGGGGAAGAAGGGGGGATGACGGTCAAGGTCTCACAATACACACTGATGCTTGATTCGCTCCCACGTGCCTCGGAAGCACGGGCCGTACTGATGCTATGAGTGGGGGAGAGTGGGGGGAAGGGATGGAAGGGAAGGGAGAGCGGTAAGGGTCACAGTCTCAGAATACACACTGATGCCTGGTGGATGCGCTCCCACATGTCTCGGAAGCACGGGCCGTACTGGTGCTGCGGAGGGGAGACGGGAAGGGAAGGGAGAGAAGGGAGAAGAGAAATGGCGTCTCAAACACTAATGCTCGTTGGATTAGCTCCCACGTGTCTCAGGAGCACGGGTCGTACTGGTGCTGCGAGGGGGAGAGTGGGGGAAGGGATGGAAGGGATGGAAGGGAAGGGAGAGGGGTTAGGGGTACAAGGGTCAACTCCTTCAAAAGCACACTGATGCTCGCTGAATGCGCTCCCACGTATCTCAGAAGCACAGGCCGTACTGTGCTGCGCGATCAGGGAGGATAGCGCGGGAGGCGAAGGGAGGAAAGGGGGAACGGGGGGAATAAGAGTTAAGGCCTTACAGTCCCACACTGATGCTCTGTGAATGCGCCTCCACGTGTCTCACAAGCACGGTCCGTACTGGTGCTGTGAGGGGGGGCAGGGAGGATAGCGCGGGAGGGGGAGGGAGGGTAGAGGGGAGGGGGGGGATGAGGGTCAAGGCTTTACAGAGCACACTGATGCTTGCTGAATGCGCTCCCACGGGTCTCGGAAGAACGGGCCGTACTGGTGCTGCTGCAAGGGGTTGAGAAGGAAACATTGCTGCAACTCCTCCACCCATCCCATGCGCTCTGCTCTGCTCTGCCCATGCACTGCACTGCACCGCACTGCACTGCACTGCACTGCACTCATTGCCTTGAGTTGGGGGCATGTAACTGTGTGACATTCCCATGGCTCTCACTCATCAGATCCCCTGCGTGGATGGACCATCGCCGCATGGCATCAGCAGCAGGCTGCTGCTGTTGGCATACCTATGTCTCTCACTCAATGCGCTATACGGCACCGCACCGCACCACACTGCACTACACCGCACTACACTGCACTGCACTCACCGCCTTGGGAGTGAAGAGCTCGTGAATAAACCGCCTCGTGGCATCAGCAGCGGACAGATTCGTCTCCACCACCGTCAGCGCCGGCTCAAACAGGGCTGAGAACGGCCCGTCCTACGCTCCCACTCACCGCACTACACCGCAATGCACCGCACTGCACTCACCGCCTTGGGAGTGAATAGCTCGTGGATGAACCGCCTCGTGGCATCAGCAGCGGACAGATTCGTCTCCACCACCGTCAGCGCCGGCTCAAACAGGGCTGAGAACGGCCCGCCCTGTGCTCCCACTCACTGCACTACACCGCATTACACCGCACTTCACCGCACTTCACCGCACTGCACCGCACTGTACTCACCGCCTTGGGAGTGAAGAGCTCGTGAATGAACCTCCTGGTGGCGTCAGCAGCGGATAGATTCGTCTCCACCACCGTCAGCGCCGGCTCAAACAGGGCTGAGAACGGCCCGTCCTACGCTCCCACTCACTGCACTACACCGCACTACACCGCACTGCACTCACCGCCTTGGGAGTGAAGAGCTCGTGAATGAACCGCCTCGTGGCATCAGCAGCGGACAGATTCGTCTCCACCACCGTCAGCGCCGGCTCAAACAGAGAAGAGAACGGCACATACGGCATGCCCGCCCTCTGCCTCTGCTGCTGCTGCTGCTGCTGCGGCTGTTGTTGGCTTGCTGGCGGCTCATCTGTGAGCCAGAGCACTCGCACGGTCAGCTGATGCACTGCTGCTACCGCGTGCGCTAAACACACAGTCTCCAATCGCTGCGGTATGGGACCCTGAAGGAAGAGGGAGAAGAGAGCCCATGAGAGCACAGGAGGGGTTCATCTGTGAGCCAGAGCACTCGCACGGTGAGCTGGTGCACTGCTGCTACCGCGTGCGCCACACACACCGTCTCCAGGCGCTGCGGTATGGGACCCTGATGGAAGAGGGCGAACGAAAGGAAGGGAGGGAAGCAGGGAAAGAGAGGGAAGGAAGTCCAAAAGAGCACTCGCACGGTGAGCTGATGCACTGCTGCTACCGCGTGCGGCACACACACAGTCTCCAGGCGCTCGGGTATTGGGCGCTGAGGGATAAGGACGAGAGAAAGGGAGTGAGGAGAGAGGTGGGAAAGAGAGTCACTGAGGGCCACGGGGAGCTGCCTGTGAGTCAATGAGCTGCCTGCGAGAGGAGGGGAGGGGTGGGGCGAGCGGAGGGGGAAGTGGGAGTGGTGAGAGGCGGAAAGGAGATGAGCTGCGGGGGGAGAAGCCGATGAGGGAGGTGCACAGGGTGGGTGAAATGGAGAGAAGAGAAAACAGATGGTCCGGAAGGACGACGGCCTGAGGCTTCTCAGGAATCTCTCGCAGATCGCTTATCACGAAGGATCCCTCAAGAGGGAGAACCAGTAGGAGAGAAGCGCGAGGCAGAAACGATCATTCAAGAGTTGGTCACTCTAGGCCTGCAGTGGCACAGTTGCACGCATGTCGCAATACGACCTTGAGATTATATCTATCGTACACGTGGAGCGTTGGGGATTGATGAGAACGAGCTTGCTGCCAGCATCAGCCAAGGAAGGCCCACTGACCGTTGCGAACGCGACGAGGTCGATGTGCTGACACGTTGCAGGACTAGGGTCGACGTGGCATTCGGGATCCGATCGCTGGTCCACTAGCTCCCGTCGTATGACACCTTCGATATTGGCGAACTCGTTAGTAGCATGATGGCCCTTAAGGTAAGAGTAGTAGTGTAACACGCCGACCGCTGCTAGAAGCGCGACCGTCGCTGGCACTAATAGTTTTCCGCGACTCGAGTGGCTCTTAGCTGAGCCTCTAAACAACGGCTTTCCTTTGTACCCTACTGCCATTTGCACAGAAATTCCTTACGCAATCGCCTTAACAGACAGTTACCCCGGGTAGAAAAAACAACACGAATTAAGACTACCTAGGTCTCCGGGGGTACGGTGTTTGAGCGACGGTCATAATATGCAATGGTGTGACAACGGCGTTCCCGCACATTTGAGCAAGCGTCTTCACGAAAGGCCTGAGAGGACGGATAGCTTCGTAACTCCAACACAGTCTACACAGCAAGAACACGTATCCACCAGCTCCGCAGATCGCAAATTGCGAGGAAACTAACTACAGCTTGCTCCTAGTAAAACAAAGTCAAGCTTTCCCCACGTTCTGATGCTAGCTACAGCCTTGTGGAAATCTAAGTATGTCCGCCCTGAGAGTCGTTTTCGTGGGTTTGACGGATAGGAAATCCAACGGAGAATTACCATGAGGAGCTTTACGGGCACCCTGAAGTTCTGGCTTCTAGTGGTTCAAAACAACGCAAGGTTCGGCTCCAGGGCTGTCGTTTGGTTTTGTGGTACCCGGAGAAATCGGCTCTCGTTTTGTTTCCGTGTCGCCGCCTTGTGAGGAGGTTCGGTCTGGTCTGGACCCAATTGGGCCCGTCGGTACCGCTTCGCTCCGCTGGCCGCTCCGTTTCCAATTTGTCTGTCAGGCTTGGGCTTTTTGGCGCGTTTTTGGTTTGAGAAATTCCCGCTACGTCGAGCTTCCAGAACCATTGCAAGCCTACTCGATATGCACTAGGAAAATATACGATGTATGACGGATACAATAATGAGGAATCAGCATTCTCTCCTTTTCGATAGACCAGTCACTTTCCCCAAGGGTTAAAGCAGTGTACACTGTATCATGCACTCCAGGAGCACAGAAATCAATGAAAATCATCGCTCTATTGATTTTACTGCCTTGGATAATTCATTCAAATGTGAGTAGCAATCACCAGAATCAAAGCTCATCATGAGACCCTTTTTTCGGCGCCCTTGCCTCCTCAAGGTCGCGACGAAGCTCCTTCTCCTCTTCCGCCTCCTCCTTTGACCTGGAGCGCTGAGACGGCCTCTGCGGCGGCACCTCAGAGGGCATCTTGACCGGAATGGCCGAGTTCCGCACAACAAAGTCGGTCAATGGGCCGAGGCGAGTGTGGTGTGTGTCGATCTGCACAGGTTCGACACGAACAGGAAGCGAAGCAGGCATGGAAGGGTTACATTACATACTTCCGTCATCAAAACTCGTCAGGGAGGCTTTTAAAGCCAGGGTCTCATGTACGGGTTGGCCGTGCAACTGCAAAGCAGTTGGGCAAAAAGTGGGTTCTTTTGCGAGTCTCGATTGGACTAAACTTTGGCCCAAATTTGTACACCAATCAGACAGGCCCTTTTTCCATCGACTGCAAAGCACTTGGTCTACTTGAGACCCTGGCTTTAAGGGGCCTTAGCCGCAAACTTTGTACGGGGCCGTGGTGGCAAGTGCACAATCAAAAGCAGGGGGGAGAAGCGCGAAATTCGAGCTGGGCATTCGTACCGGGTCAGACTTTCGATTGGCGGGGTAAAGCTAGCGTGGGGAAGGCAGACACCTGGTGGGTGCTTGGTGCATTAACTGCTCTATGTGCAGCATGTGTTACATCTGCTGTATGTATGACTGAGCTGTATGGACGTACCGGATCAGACTTGCGATTGGCGGGATAGAGCAGCAGTGTGGGGAAGGCAGACACCTGGTGGGTGCTTGGTGCATTAACTGCTCTATGTTCTGGGTGTGCTATACGTGCTGTGTGTGTGTGCTGTATGTGCTGCATCTGAATCAAGCTGTATGGTGCGTACCGGGTCCGACTTCCGATTGGCGGGGTAGAGCAGTAGCGTGGGGAAGGCAGACACCTGGCGGTTGAGTGGTTTTCGTGGGTATTAGGAGGGTGGGCCGGAAGGATGATGACCAGGAGGGTAGATTGTGAATGATTGCTGGCAACACTGCACGTGTGAGGTACACAAATGTTTCACCAGACCAGAGTGCAGCTGTGCACGTGCATAACATTGTGTGGTGGGCGTGTTTAACACTGCAGCATACGGAAGCAGCAGACGTGACATATGATTCGAGACACAACAGCCTAGAGCAAGACAGCAAGACAGTAAAGAGACACCAACATTCAGTTAACACTTTGCTTGACACTTGGGCTAAATTAAACCGGCCAGTTTCATTTCCTCGGTATAAATTTGGATGTTTTCAGTTTTGGGGTGATCGCCCACTCACATCCAGGCCCGGGTACTCATTGTTGCGTGCGTTCATGCGCTCAAAGACGAGTGAGGGCACACAGGTGGTGACCTTGCGAGCGGAGCAGCGCTGCACAGAGCTGCACAGTTGGCCTACCTTTGTCCGATCACTCACCTCCAGGCCCGGGTACTCGTTGTTGCGTGCGTTCATGCGGGCAAAAGCAAGCGATGGCACGCCAGAGAACTTGAGGGCGAGCTTCTTGAAGGTGGGATCGAGATCGGTGCAGTCGTCACAGTGATCCACGTCTATCTGTGGAAGAGAGGGGTTAGAGGGGAGAAGGGGAAACGCAAGGGAGGAAGGAAAGAAGACAGCATGTGCGTTCATGCGTGGAAAGGCCAGCGAGGGTGCGTCCGAGAACTTGAGAGCGAGCTTCTTGAAGGTGGGGTGGAGGTCGATGCAGTCGTCACAGTGATCCACGTCGATCTGCAGGGGTGAGGGGAGGGAGGGGGATAGGGGGAGCGGGGGGGGGCTTTAAGACACCCAAGAAAGGGTGGGGTTCTTGAAGGTAGGGTGGAGGTCGATGCAGTCGTCACAGTGATCCACGTCGATCTGTGCAGGGCACGGGTGGAGGAGATGGGAGGAGCGTGTAAGAGTCGAGTTTTGAGTCGACTCAAAACTCGACTCATTACACGGAGATGGGAGGAGCGGAAATCGAGGCACAGAGGGGCTCTGGGTGGAATGGAACGGAGTCAACTAAACGACCCCAAGAGACAGAAGTCTCAATGTCAATTTGGCTACACGGAAGTCGAGTTGGCTTTTGAGGCGCCTTTTGAGGCGATTTTTTAGGCACCTCAAAGACAGAAGTCCGTATGTGAACTCGGCTACACGGAAGTGGAGTTGACATGAGCGATAGTAGCTCAGATAAGATACACCTTGGGTTGGGCCTACTATCACCTCGTCCTTAGTCCTGTCCTGCCCATTACAACGTCCTTGGAATTCCAACGCGACGACTGTGGCTACACAGAAGCTGACACATGCGATAAGCTGAGTGCACTCGGTTTATTGCCTCTGCTTAAGCAAGGACGATACCTTGAGTAGCACGTCCTTGGTTCTGTCCATCACGATTTCATTGAAATTCGTTCGGAGAATTGTCCAAGTGCTCAAACAAAATCTACGTGAACAGGCTTCAAACCAATAGTACCTTGAGTAGCACGTCCTTGGTTCTGTCCATCACAATGTCCTTGAAATTCTTCCCCACTAAAGTTACACCAAGATAGCAGAGCACAGCACAAGCCGTTACTACCTACCTTGAGTAGCACGTCCTTGGTTCTGTCCATCACAATGTGCTTGAAGTTTTTCCCCACCACCGTCAGCACTGGACCGTCGTTCTGCATGCAATGAAGTGGGAGGCGGGAACCAAGAGTGCGGGAAGAGTGAATGGAGTGAGAGAGGGATAGAATGAGAATGGAACACAGAGGCAGGAACTTGGAAATTCTTCCCCACCACCGTCAGCACTGGACCGTCGTTCTGCATGCAATGAAGTGGGAGGCGGGAACCAAGAGTGCGGGACAAGTGAATGGCGTGAGAGAGATGGAATGAGAATGGAACACAGAGGCAGGAACTTGGAAATTCTTCCCCACCACCGTCAGCACTGGACCGTCGTTCTGCGGCATGCCATGGAGTGGAGTGGGAGAGAGGGATGGTGGGTGGGTGGAAGGAAAGGGATAAGTAGAATGAGAGGGCTGGAAGAATGAAGTGGGAGAAAGAAAGGACAGGGAGTTTAGAGACTCCACTTGCATCGACCCACATGTACGATACGACCGCACGCAAGGCACTCACCTTTTTTGGGATGGGGTCGGAGAGGTAGTACGGTTCCAGTGCGTCAGCAGCAAGCTCACGGGCAAAAGCCTGCAGAGTTGGTTCGCTGGCAGTGGTGCATATTTGGGACGGTGGTGGAACGGAAAAGACCTGCACTCCCCTTCTTTGAGATGGGGTCGGAGAGGTAGAGTATGGCTCCAGAGCATCGGCAGCAGTTGTTAAGTCGCTGAAAAGCTACACTACCCTCCACTCCAGTCCGGTTTACAGTACATGGGCGGTACTCACCCTCTCTGGGATGGGGTCGGAGAGGTAGTAGGTTCCCAGTGCTTCTGCAGCAATGGTCAACCTGCTTAACAAATCCACTTCATTCAGTATCTATGACTGGAGCCCTACAGCTCTCTACGACCCCATCACTGACTGGTACTCACCTTCTCTGGGATGGGGTCGGAGAGGTAGTATGGCTCCAGACGGTCAGCAGCAAGCTCACGGGCAAAGGCCTGATGGGTTGGTTGGTGGTGGTGTGCGTTTGGGAGGGGTGGAACAAAAGGAATAATCAGTTACTTGGGAGTTGTTCCAAGGAGTTGGCAGCTTTTGAGCGGATCCGTCTCACTTGAGTGGCTATTAAGGCGCCTCAAATCTTGTCAGGCGCATTAGCTCAGGCTTTAAGCAAGCAGCACACACAGAAATTTGAGTCGGCTCAAAAGTCACCCTAAAGGTAGGTAGCTCTAATATCAACCGCAACAGATGATATCATATCATTGATGAGCTTTTTTTTAGCCGCTCCTTCAGACGCAGAGCAGCTGTGAAGGGGTGAACCGCTTGATTTGAGTGGTGAGCTGCGTATTGAGGTCCTTAAAGGTGATTTTGAGATGCAGATCCGTGCCTTAATTTAAACGGAATTTGAGGCACCTCAAAAGTGCAACGGCTGTGGTTGGTATCGTTCTCCTCACCTCGATGTCTTCCGTGGTAAGCTGGCCATTGAACTTGAACTTGACCTCATTCGTCTCATTGGACACCATGCCCATGATCTGAGGAGGGAGGGGGGGTGGGAGGCAAGGATTGGGGCAGTGTGTGTGTGTGAGCGTGCGTGTGGCACTTGAACTTGAGCTCATTCGTCTCATTGGACACCACGCCCATGATCTGCGGAGGAAGGGAGGGGGGGGGGAGATAGATGGAAGGAGATGGGAGGTAGATGGGAGGCAGATGGGAGGCAGGAGGAGACAGCGCGAATCTAGCTGTATCAGGGAAAGCCAAAAGGTAGAACTTAAACTTGAGCTCACCCGTCTCATTGGATACCATGCCCATGATCTGGGGTGGAGGGGGGCACAGGGATGGAGAAAGAGGGGGGAGTAAAGGGGGGTAGAGGAAGGCAGAGAAAGAGCGAGTTACCCGTTGAACTTGAACTCATCCGTCTCATTGGATACCATGCCCATGATCTGCGGAAGAAGGGAGGCCAACAGAGGCAGGCAGAGGGGATGGGAGGCCGAGACAGAGTGAGGTGGCCGTTGAACTTGATCTCGTCCGTCTCATTGGACACCATGCCCATGATCTACGGAGGGAAGGGACAGAGGGGCGCAGAAGGAGACAGCGGGCAGAGGGGCGCAGAAGGGGACAGAGGGCAGAGGGGCGCAGAAGGGGACTTGAGCTTGAACTTGAGCTCATCCGTTTCATTTGATACCATGCCCATGATGTGAGGAGGTAATGATAGAGGAGGGGTGCAGAGGGAGACAGAGGGGTGGAGAGGCAAGTTCTTGGAATTGGCACTGCAGCCATCGCATTGAACCCATGCCAAACCTCACCACATTAACCCCACGCTCACCACTTTGCACCCACACTCACCGCAGTATCGCCGTGCCTGAAGCCAAAGTACTCGAGTGCATGCTCTGAGTCTGGAAGGTCGCTGTTGATGTACACAAAGAGGGCCTGGCGGTATTGAGAAGGTGGGGGAAGGACGCAGGGGGAGAGATAAGGGATGTACAATAAGGGAACGCCAAAGCACTCAAGAGCGTGCTCTGAGTCCGGAAGGGCGCTGTTGATATACACAAAGAGGGCCTGGTAGATGGCGGGGAGGGGGGGCGAGGGGAGGGGAGAGGGTGGGAACGACATGAGGAGACATTGCTGATGTAGACCAGCCAAAATACTCAAGAGCGTGCTCTGAGTCCGGAAGGGCGCTGTTGATATACACAAAGAGGGCCTGGTAGATGGCGGGGAGGGGGGGCGAGGGGAGGGGAGAGGGTGGGAACGACATGAGGAGACATTGCTGATGTAGACCAGCCAAAATACTCAAGAGCGTGCTCTGAGTCCGGAAGGGCGCTGTTGATATACACAAAGAGGGCCTGGTAGATGGCGGGGAGGGGGGGCGAGGGGAGGGGAGAGGGTGGGAACGACATGAGGAGACATTGCTGATGTAGACCAGCCAAAATACTCAAGAGCGTGCTCTGAGTCCGGAAGGGCGCTGTTGATATACACAAAGAGGGCCTGGTAGATGGCGGGGAGGGGGGGCGAGGGGAGGGGAGAGGGTGGGAACGACATGAGGAGACATTGCTGATGTAGACCAGCCAAAATACTCAAGAGCGTGCTCTGAGTCCGGAAGGGCGCTGCTGATATACACAAAGAGAGCATGGCGGATGGGGGGGAGGGGGGAGGGCCAAGGGGGAAGCAATGTAAGGAGAAATGTATTGGATTGTGCCGAGTCTGCTGCTGTGCGTAGGTGGATCTAATAGAGCCCCAAGTACGGCCATGTCTGTACGTGGCAGGTGCTGTGCGTAGGTGGACCTATTCCTGCCCCAACCCTCCCTGTGAGGAGGTATCCCCACTCCATCATCCCCACCCTCCACCTCCCCTTCCCCTCCCCTGCCACATCCCCCCCTCCTCCCCACCACCTCTCCATCCCTCCAATCTTCCTTTCTTCAGCCTCACCAGTCCTTTCACCCGCCTGGCTGGCAGCCTCTTTCCCGGCTGGCAGGTGCTGTGCGTGGGTCTCAGGCGTTGCTAGGCAGGACCGAGCAGCAACTGGTAGACTCGATCCCGCCACCCTTGTTCCAAGTTCCAGCCCTCCCTGTGAGAAAAAGTCCCCATCATCCAATCAATCCCCTCTCCCTCTTTCCATTCGCTCACCAGTCCTTTCACCCGCTTTGCAGCTTCCTTCACCACTGGCAGGTGCTGTGGTTAGGTCTCATTTGTTGCCTCTTTCACCCTTTCCCCTTGTACAAATCCCCTTTCCCTCTCTCTGCACCCCTCACCAGTCCTTTCACCCGCCTTGCTGCCTCTTTCACCACTGGCAGGTGCTGCGCGTAGGTCTCATTCGTTGCCAGCAACAGCACCTGGTGAATGGATGATGGGGAGGGGGCGGGGGAAGATGAGCATATGAGGTGACTATGGAGCTGACTCAACAGCCACTGGCAGGCAGGTGCTGCGGGTAGGTCTCATTCGTTGCTAGAAGCAGCACCTGGTGAATGAGGGGGTGGTGGTGGGAGGAGGGGGGAGGGGGCGGGGGAAGATGAGCATATGAGGTGACTATGGCGCTGATTCAAGAGTCACTGGCTGGAGCTGCGGGTAGGTCTCATTCGTTGCCAGAAACAGCACCTGGTGGTTCAATGGTTGGTTGGTAGGCAGGGGAACATTGGATTGGGGGAGGCGGTGGGGGGAGGGGGGGATGAGCATACGAGGTGACTATGGGGCTGATTCAAGAGTAACTGGCAGGTGCTGGGAGTAGGTCTCATTCGTTGCCAGCAACAACAACACCTGGTGAATCGATGGTGTGGGGGGGATGGGGAGGGGGAAAGGGGGAAATGAGCATGAGGTGACTATGGAGCTGCTGACTCAAAAAGCCACTGGCAGGTGCTGGGCGTAGGTCTCATTCGTTGCCACGAACAGCACCTGGTTAATGGATGGTGGGTTGGGGCAAGGTTGGAGTGTGCGATAATTAATTGAGATGGCTCAAGAGTCAATGGCATGGCCGGTGCTGGGCGTTGGTCTCATTCGTTGCCAGAAACAGCACCTGGTGGATTGATTGCAGGGGAGGCGGGGGGGAAATAGGGGAATGGGGGAATAGGGGAATAGGGAATCAGGGGATAGGGGAACAGGGGAACAAGGAAACAGGGGAATAGGGGAAACAGGGGAATAGGGGAATACGGGAATAGGGAAACAGGGGAATAGGGGAATACGGGAATAGGGAAACAGGGGAATAGGGGAATATGGGAATAGGGAAACAGGGGAATAGGGGAATACGGGAATAGGGAAACAGGGGAACAGGGGAATATGGGAACAGGGGAACAGGGGAACAGGGGGACAGAGGAACAGGGGAACAAGGGAACAGAGGAAGGATACTGTGTATTGGCAGGTGCTGGGCATAGGTCTCGGTCGTTGTCAGAAACAGCACCTGGCAGTCTGAAAGCGGGAATTTGAGTCTTGTAGTGCTGAAAAATGGGGCGATAATCGAGCATAGGAAATACGGCGATAGAAAAAGAGGGTGTGGCCTGTGGGAACAAAATATGGGGGTAGGTCTCCGGGCGTATTCAGAACTTAGAAGCAGCAGCATACTGACTGTCCTCCTCGTCGTAGGTAGTAGTGGTAACCAGAGACAGTTACTGGCCTCAACATACGAATTCACTTGCTTCTTAAGATGGTGTACTCAAGGCTGTCCTCATCATAGGTGGTAACCAGATACAAGGTGCTAAGTGTTACAATAATCAGTGTAAACAAGAAACTCACTTGCTTCTTGATATCGCTGTTGAATATAGTGTACTGGCTCTCCTCATCATAGGTGGTAACCAGAGGCAGCTTGTTGGCTGTTACAAACGCGGCAATGGCACTGCTGGTGAAGGGACCGTCTGGGAGACACAGGGGAGGGGGGGGGGGGGGTGAAGAGGGGGGGTAGAGAGGGGGGTGGATGGGGATCGTAAGGGAGTGGCATGTGGTTGAGCGAGTGAGGCAGCTTGTTGGCAGTTACAAAGCCAGCGATGGCACTGCTGGTGATGGGACTGTCTGCATAATACAGGGGAGAGGTAAGTAAAAAGAGGGCACTGCATAGAAATCGTAAGAGGGCTTGTTGGACGCTACAAAGGCAGAAATGGCAGTGGTGGTTAAAGGACGCGTGGGAATGTAGGAAGGGAGGGGCGTGGGGGGGGGGGGGGGGGGGGGCGAGGGAGGGAAGGGGAAGGGTACACACGGGAAGAGTAGAGCGGGAGGGTGGAAAAATAGTGATCTGTCGGAACACCTTCATTCTTGAAGAGTCCCCTCTCTGCTCACAATGCTTCAAGGAGGAAATTGTAGCTAGGTCTTTTGAAGAATGTGAGATTTCCTTGCTCAATTTGTTCTATGGAGGGGGTTGAATTGTATTGTATAGTCCATAGGCATCTTGAAGGCTGTAAGGCGTTCTTGCTCACAATGCTGGATTCCGCTGCCACAATGCTACCATAACATCAACCAACCGTTGACACCACTCCCTCCCCTCCCCCCCCAATCGTCGCTTCTCACCATGAGCCACGAATTTCTCGTCCTCCTTCTTGATCACCGCCACTGCCGGCCGCTCCTTGCTCACAATTCTGAATTCTGCAGCAATGTTGGCGTCTGTCGTCGCAATGAACTCGATATCGTCGATGTCGCGGGAAGCTTCTGCGAAAGCCTCTGCCTCAGGGCCCTGTGATTGGTTTGGTTAGAAACAAAAGAAGAATAAAACCTGGGTATAGGATTGGGTCACAATCCTGAATTCTGCAGCAATGTTAGCATCTGTTGTCGCGATAAACTCGATATCGTCGATGACGCGAGAAGCTTCCGCAAAAGCCTCTGCCTCGAGGCCCTGGAATTGGTTTGATTAGGAAGAAATGAAGAGCAGAAATCACGAACGGAAAACAAAATCAGCAAAGAACGTGTCAAAAGGAGCGCAAAGAAGGGGAAGAGTGAGTGAGTGGAGTGACTGGACTGGAGGATTAGGGCAAGGGCGTTGTAACTCAATAATTGCCTCATCACAGGAGGACTGGGGGAGGGCAATGGCGTTGAAAGCAGCAGAGCAGAGAGACGGGCAGAGAGCAGAGAATGTGCCTTGTGCGCGTAAGGGAAAGAGAGGTGAGTCCCTGACGGCCATATGAGTGTATAGGCAGCAGACAAATGGCAAGAGGGACGAGCACGCCTTTGCTTTATGCCTACTGCACGCACGCAGCTCACTGAGAAATGTCTGAACCTCGAGAGGTGAGTCACTGACGGCCATATGAGTGTATAGGCAGCAGACAAATGGCAAGAGGGACGAGCACGCCTTTGCTTTATGCCTACTGCACGCACGCAGCTCACTGAGAAATGTCTGAACCTCGAGAGGTGAGTCGCTGACGGCCATATGAGCATACAGGCAACAGACAAACGGCGAGAGAGACGAGCAGAGAGACATGAAGATAAAGAGGGAGGCAGATGCACACACCAACCTTGAGGGAGTGGAGGAGGGCGAGGGCGATGGCGCTGGAAGCAGCGAGCAGAGAGGAGAAGGGAGAGAGAGGTGAGTGACTGACTGACAGACAAATGGGCAGAGAGACGGGAAGCGAGGCACGGATAGACAGAGAACCGACAACCGACCTTGAGGGAGTGGAGGAGCGCGAGGGCGATGGTGCTGGAAGCAGCAAGCAGAGAGTGTGCCTTGTGGGAATGAGAGGCAGAGAGGTTAGTGGCTGACAGACGGACGGGCAGAGAGACGAGCAGGGTGAGACAGCAGGAGTGACGCACGCACGGGCCTTGAGGGAGTGGAGGAGCGCGACGCGAGGGCGATGGCGTTGGAAGCAGCGAGCAGAGAGGATACGAGGGGGAAGAGATGTAAGTGACTGACTAGCAGACGGGCAGAGAGACGAGCAGAGGGACTTGAGAGACCGAAAGAGAGAGGGACGCACAGCAACCAACCTTGAGGGAGTGGAGGAGGGCGAGGGCGATGGCATTGGAAGCAGCGAGCAGGGAGTGTGCCTTGTGCGCTTCTGAGGCGGTGAGGTGAGGGACTCTTTGTTACAAAGAGGTAGGCAGACACACACGGACCTTGAGGGAATGGAGGAGGGCGAGGGCGATGGCGTTGGAAGCAGCGAGCAGGGAGTGTGCCTTGTGCGCTTCTGAGGCGGTGAGGTGCGTGACTGACAGGCCCAGGCGCTTCTTTACAAATGTGATGAGCTCGTCACTGGGGTTGGGAGAGGGAGGGAGAGGAGGAGCAGATTCGGTGAAGGGATAGGACTTTGAGCTACTGGATGAACGCTCGTATATCTGCTTCAGTCAGAAGAGGTGAGTCACTGACAGCCCCAGACGCTTCTTCACAAAGGTGACGAGGTCGTCACTGGGGTTGGGGAGGGGAGGGAGAGGCGAGGAGGGGTATTACCTATGATTGCGGCGCCTCAAAAGTGGACAGTCTCGCCACGTCACTACAATGATAGCCCCCTATAATGACCTCATCCTACAATCGCTTTTCATTGGCTGTGTCTAAATGCAACATTTCCCCTCACGAACACGAATACGGAGTTTCGCATTACGCTATTCGTCAATTTGCCTTTACTAGGGTAACCCGATGATGACCTCATCGAACACCACAATCGCACCTCTCGGGGTAGCCTCTGATTGGTCTGAATTTCCCGTCCCTGACGAGCACGAAATTCGGCATGTCGCCAAACGCCTTGAACTCTTCGCGAACGATTTCGCCCGCCGCGATTCCGTCGACCATCGCTACAGTCACACCCAGCTTAGTCAACTCCGCTTTCGCGCCGGACACGTCATCCACGAGCAACGGAAACGCCTTATCCTCCTTATTGAAAAACACCACAAGAACGCGCGAATGCTCCGTTAAAGTCTTACGGAGCGTTGGCACCGTTAAGGCCTGAACTGGGGCTTTAATCTTGCCTAACGCGGCTTCTAACTTCTCCTCTTCGTTCGGATCCGGCGACTTGTAAGTAACTCTCTCCCCTCCGATGACTTTCGCCGCCGTCGCCACAGTTACCGGCGACGTTACCGTTACCGTCAACGGCGACATTGTCGGCGACACATTGAAGGACGGTGAGAGGGAGAAGAGGACGAGGAGGAGAATGAAGGAGGAACGGCAACTTGGCATGTTGGGGCCAGGCATTGGAGCTGAGAAGTAAAGCAGGAACGGGAGCAGCAGGGACGGAAGATAGGCTGGGAAGAAAGGGCAATGTGAGGAGAAGAAACACACGCGAGCGCAAAAGAGGGCGATGCTGTGTAGACTAAGAACTTGTCAGGAATCTAGAACCAATGCTCCGTCGAACAGAACTGCTTCTCCAGCAGAAGAGATCAGCAGAGGCAACTTGTGGGGAGGAACTGTGGGGTGGGGAGGGTACCCAAGCCAACACAGGCGAGCCCAGTACCCCGTTCCCACCTGAATGATGAAGGCGCAACAGGCGAAACAGGCGAAAACAATAGCTGGGGGGAAGAAGTAGAGCACCGATCCGTGCGAACTGCCTGAACGAAAAAGATTCTATCGCCTCGGGCGTTTTACGGCTCCACTCGTCCGCAACCCGGCCTGGCCAGTGGGCGGGAAAATCAGTGTAATGTAGTGGCAGGGAAAAGGTGCGTTGCAGAGTTCATCATCTACAATTTCTCACTTTCTCTACATTGCAATTTTATCATCCTACATCCAACATTCTATGATCATACTTACACCGTTTTGCAGATAACTCCATAAATTTCAATGCATATCTGAACGATGTGATGTTACAAAATGTCCAACAACACATGGTACAGCAGTCTAAGCCATTCATCAGGCGGGCCAGGCAAACAATAATGCAGGCAATCCCGAGGGGGTTCCTTATGTCCATCTGGTCTACCAGCAGTCATGGGTACAATATCCATAAACACCCCTCCCACACCCTCCACCAGCTTTCTAGCTTCCTCGTTCTGCTCCGCAAATTCGCCCCAATGATACGGCATTGCCGATGGATCAGAGGCACCGACCGACGGCACGGAATCTCTTGTACAGTTAGTATGTCCCGAGGCAGAACTTCTGTAAATTATAAGGAGGTTGGGTGCAGCTGCTCGTACTGTAGTTAATGTGTGATTGAGCTCAGCAATGAATAAGGGCGTTTCCACCCAGTGGGCCCCTCGGTTGAGCACAAGAACCGATATGGGAGGAAAGGGGTCGTTGTTGGGAAATGATGCTGCGGGCTTCCTGAAATGCCGTTGGAAATACTGCCAATACGTGTCTTCCTGCCCAGTTTTGCTGGTAGCCAGATTTTTTTCCGCAGAAGCTTGTGGGGTTGCAGAAAACGGCCAGCCAAACAGTCTCGGCTGCCCCATCCGTTTCTCCTCTTCCTCTCCTTTCTCCTCCTTCCTCTCCAGACCCTCCTCATGCCTCTCCTCCTTCACCTGCCTCCTCTGTGTCACCTGCATTTTCCGCCTCTTCTGCTGCTCCAACCACTCCATCTTTTCTCTCTGTTCCTGTCGCTCCTCCTGCTGCAGCATCCGCCTCTCCTGCTGCCGTCTTCTCTTCTCCTCCTCCCTCCTCCTCTTCTCCTGCTCCTTCCTCCGCTTCTCCCTCACCGCCTCCCCCTTTACAATCACATCAAGCCACGGTACAGAAATCCGTTTCGGGAGATTCACATACAGGTGCAAGTCAGTGCTCACTACATCATCTCTCACGAATATAAACTTGGTTCTTCCCAGCGCAACCCCGGTGCACAGAAGCAGGTACGGCCGCTGCTGCAGCAGCCTGTTCTTAGTGCGGCTCATGCAGAATGCAGGAGTGAATTCAACCGGTTCAAGGAATCCCCCCTGCTGCTCCTGCTCCTGCTGCTGCTGCTGCTGCTGCTGCTGCTGCTGCTGCTGCTGCTGCTGCTGCTGCTGCTGCTGCTCCCCTTGCTGCACATTACCGGGCATCAACGTCTGCCTGAAATGATTCTTCAGAGACTTGAACAGCATTACGTTTGTCGAATCCCCCACTATAAACACAGTCAACCCCTCCAGTTTCTCCGCCAGTTTCCCCTTGTCCACCTCTCCCCACTCCCCACACTTCTCTTCAGGAACCCACTTATACTTCACCGTATCCCGCACCTTCCATTCCTCTGCCGAACCACCTGCCAGAGCTATCTCATCTGCTTCCTTGAAAGCAACATTCTTATAACGGGAGTTGTTCTGCTCAGGCTCGCTCCTCCATCTATCGTCACACTCCCAACCAGCACTGACCGCGTGGGGTTGCGACCAGGGAAGCGTGCGGGGAGTATGGTCCAGCTGCCACGTGGCGTTTGCTGATAGGCACGCGAGGCGGGTCTGGAACGAGAGGAGCTGATTGGCTGAGGTGAAGCGGGAACCGGGGATGGTAGAAAGGGAGGGGAGGGGGGACGCTGGAGGATCCGCGATTGGGAGAATCAGATCAGGATTCTCGGAAGATTGCGGCGAATCTTTCGGGTTAGTATCAACTGTTGAGATCAGATCTCCTGGCGATACAACTAGCACCTGCGGCGTGCTGGTGGTGGTAGTGGTATTGGAATCTTGCAACACTCCCTGAGAGCTGACGCTGGGAGCAGGGATGCTGCTGCTATTAGGAGCAGGGGTGCTGATGCTAGGGGTATCAGTGCTGCTGCTGGTGTCAGGTACTAAAACTGGATCTGGAAAGGAACTATTATTGGTGGTACCCGAAATTGACTCGGAAAGCGCATCAGGCGAAGTTGCGGCTGTAGACGCGGTAACCGTAGGCATGGTAACCGTAGAGGTAGTAACCACGGAGGTGCTGGTAACCATAGGCGTGGTAACCGCATCTGAAGGACCCAGCGGCCAGGATTGGGGAAAGGCGTCGGAGAAGAGGCCATAATAAATAAAAAGCAGAGAGACGAAGACGACGGCCGGTAGCAGCAGCGGGCGGTATACGTTGCTACTGCCCGAGCCTTGAGCAGCCATGCAATCGATCTGGCAGGATTCGGTCTGGTTCCCGTCTGTAGATCTAGTTTTAGACCATATTACCAGAACATGTTTCCGGATAAGACGACTGAAATCCCAATTCCGCCTCGTTAGGGCGCGTGTCTTTTGGTGTAGACGTTCAAAAAAAAGGTCGACCTTTTGCTGGTAACCCGTTTCGCAAATTTCGTTTAGAGCTGTTTGCGACGCTCGTGTGTCCAAGTTCAAAGTTTGAGAAAAGAGTAGGACACTGAACTGGGGTCGAATTTCCGCGTGTACGTTTATCCAATCGTGTGTTCTTCTACTCATGCGCGATGAAGCTGCGAAAATAGAGACAGAAACGAATTTTGTTTTACATGGTTACCCAATCCGGATTCGGTCACGAACAAAATTGAATAGGTTGGGTAACCTACGAAAGTAGGGCGCGACTCGCACGAGGACTGTACAAAGTCGAACTTCGAAAGTCGAACTTTGTGTTGCCATGTGTTTATGCAACGGGTGATGCTGCGATTCTACCTCCAAAGGTCGAGATAGTCGACTACAAGTCGACCAAAGTTCAAATGCGGAAGTTCGAAAACAAAACATGAACTTTACAGTACAATCCGAAAGACACACGCCCTTAGTACTGAAATATTATCGGGTTTTTAGTTTCCCAGGAAGGCTTAGAGGGCGTTCCCACAGTTTCCCGACACTGAAGTCTGCCCACGCGGCTCGCAATGTTGCCAATTGCGTAAAATTGGGCAACATGCGGCTCGAAGTTTTCCCACCAGGATTCCCATCAAAATCGGGCGTGCAAGTGTTCATCCACGACCGTGTACGATCACATCTGACGGCCCACGACGCCATCCGAAATGTGCCACGACCCAACCCACGTTTATGTGCTATTGCACGAAGTTCAGCTGCCCGTATTTCCAAGTCAACGCCATTCCCTAGCAGCGAAGGTTTCCAAGTCAACGCCATTCCCAATTTTCGGGCACCGTTTTACGCGGGAGTCAGGAATCCCAGCAGAGTCGTTGAGTCCAACCGATTTTCAGACGTGGAGTTCTATTGGCTGCGAGTATATTTTTGAGAGGGAAATTTGTCAAAATGTCGCAATTTGGTCGTAATGGCTCGCAAGGACGCGGTGTCCAGAGTGGGGCAGTACCCCACTCTGACCACCATCCCGCCAATTCATGAGCCTGGTGGGCAAACTTCAGTGTCGGGAAATTGTGGGAACGCCATCTTACTCTAGATGTCCCTCTTTCGAGGGACTTTCATCTCAACTTGCGCACACTTTCCGCTGATCCGCTTCTGAGGCGGAAGAGTTATTGTGTTAACTCAGAACCAGGCCTGTCGAAGTTCCTGGGGCCCAAACTTGCGCTCCCCAGCTCCTCCCCATCTGACCCTGTTTTGGGTGTAGCTGAGCGTTTGGGCGCCCTTAAAGCTGCGGTCTACATACCT